TATAACATCGCTATGGTACAAAATGTAGCTAGCTAAGAGTTTATGAGCGCAGTTAACACGTTAAGTGTTTTAAAATGCAAATGCTGTATCGTTGCTAGCTAAATGCACCAGTAGCTGACATCTGTCTGCAGAGCCAGTTTCAAGCCAGGGGTTTCACCCCAGCGGGTTCAAGCCAGTGGCATTCAGCGCATGCGCTGACACCTGTTTTGTTTTTTCTTAGCGAGTGTTAGGCGAATCAACATTTCAGTCGTTTTAGGCGGGTTTCCAGTAAATTTGTGATACATTTGCGTTGGGCACACGTTATATTTTAAGCTTTAGGCTAAAACAAACTTTGGTTTGAACGCATATAGAGATTCATAGGGTAAATATTACACAAATTACAGCTGGGTAAGTTAATGGTTTATGTATACATATAACATGAGCTCAATTAACTTACCCTTAATACGGGGGCTTTATGTGGACACTTACATCAAGTCAAGTCAAATTTATTTATATAGCGCCTTTTACAACAGATGTTGTCACAAAGCAGCTTTACAAAGAATCCGGGTCCAAGCCCCCAGTGAGCAAGCCTTGGCGACAGTGGCAAGGAAAAACTCCCTCAACAGGAGGAAGAAACCTTGAGAGGAACCAGACTCAAAAGGGGAACCCATCCTCCTCTGGTCGACACCGGATAAGAGGACAGACACAAAACAGTATAAGTGGATACAGTTTAACACCACTGTGCAGTGCGCCGGCCGCATCTCAGGTCAGACCCTCTTAGGACAGGCAGCCGCTCAGCTCAGGGAAAGAGAGGGGGAGGGGGAAGGGGGGAGGTAGGGGGAAGGGGGGATGAGAGGGACATTGTTAGAAAAACAAATTAACCAAAAGCTCGACTAAACAGGTATGTTTTTAGCCTAGACTTAAAGATGGAGGCTGTGTCTGAGTCCCGAACACTGACTGGTAGGCTATTCCAAAGCTGGGGGGCTTTGTATGAAAAGGCTCTTCCCCCTGACGTAACTTTATTTATTCTGGGTACTAATAATGAGCCCGCACCTTGTGATCTAAGTGGGCGTGTCGGTTGATAATAGGAAATAAGGTCACTGAGGTACTGAGGAGCAAGGCCATTCAAAGCTTTATACGTCAGTAGAAGAATTTTGTACTCAATGCGGAATTTAACTGGCAACCAATGTAAGGTACACAAAATTGGGCTAATGTGGTCGAATTTCCTGGTTTTGCTGAGAACTCTGGCTGCAGCGTTCTGGACTAACTGAAGCTTGTTAAGGTTTTGGCTGGAACAACCAGAAAGCAGAGCGTTACAGTAATCTAACCTGGACGTGATGAAGGCGTGAACTAACGTTTCTGCATCCTGTAGCGACAGTGCATTTCTTAATTTAGCGATGTTACGCAGGTGGAGGAAAGCTATTCTGGTAATATTGGTAATATGCTCATCGAAGGCCAGACTGGGATCAATCGTGACACCAAGACTTTTTACAGATGTGCCTGGTGCAATTGAGAAACTAACGAGATTAAGAGTAAACGTAGGCAGATTATCCCTAGCAGCTTTTGGACCAAGAAGAAGGACTTCGGTTTTGTCCGAATTTAGTAAAAGGAAGTTGCTTGACATCCATTCTTTAATGTCTTTTACACAGTCCTCTATCTTATTAAGTTCAGTTTTGTCCTCTGGTTTAGCTGAAATATATAATTGTGTATCATTGGCATAGCAGTGGAAACTGATGCCATGTTTTCTAATGATGGTACCTAGTGGTAGCATATATAAGGCAAATAACATGGGTCCTAAGACAGAGCCCTGTGGAACACCATACTTTACTCTTGTGAGAGCTGATGGATCACCATTTACATTAACAAACTCAAAGCGATCACTAAGGTAAGATTTGAACCACGAAAGAGCTTTACCTGTCACTCCTACTAGTTTCTCAAGCCTGTCTAATAGAATGGAATGGTCTATTGTGTCAAAAGCTGCACTAAGATCGAGTAAAACCATATGTTTCCTTTGTCAGCGGATAATAAAAGATCATTTACAATTTTCAGGACTGAAATTTTCCATATATATTACTCCTATGCAGATGGGAACATAATTGTTTTGCCACTGCTTTCTCTAAAATTTTTGATAAAAAGGGAAGATTTGAAATAGGTCTATAGTTTGATAGCTCAGAGGGGTCAAGACTAGGTTTCTTTATTAAGGGTTTAATTACACCTAATTTAAGAGATTTTGGAACATACCCGAGGCTGAGAGAAGAGTTTATTATAATTAGAAAGGGCTTAGTTATTTCTGGCAAAACATCTTTAAGTAAACCTGTAGGAATAGGATCTAGTATACAAGTTGTTGTTTTTGTAGATGAAATAATTTGGACGAGCTCTGTTTGTTGGAGTAAAGTAAAAGACTCCAGCGTCTCTGTAGTGGTTATACTGCACTCTAGATCTAGATTAGGTTTATAGGACACTGCACTGCAATGCTGCGCATTTTGAATTTTGTGCCTAATCAATTCAATTTTATTATTGAAGAAGTTCATGAAGTCAGTGCTGCTGTAGGCTGATGGTATCTGGGCTTCAGTAGCTGCTTGATTATTAGTTAATTTAGAGACAGTACTGAATAGTAGCCTAGGATTATTCTTGTTATTTCCAATCAATGACAAGAGAGAGGCTGAACGTGCTGACTTTAGTGCTTTTCTATAGTCTATAAGACTCTCCTTCTAGGCAGAATGGAAAACCTCAAGTTTAGTCTGACGCCATTTACGCTCTAATCGCCTAACAGTCTGTTTCATAGCTCGAGTATGGTCATTGTACCATGGAGCGAGCCTTTTCTGCCTTATTCTTTTACTTTTTAATGGAGTCACATTATCTAAAGTGGAGCGAAAAATGTCTTCCAAACATTTAGTCAGTATATCTAATTCATTGGGTTCAGACGGACAACTAATTAAGGACTAATTCCTTACATGTGCAGGAATAAAACTTTACCTCAAGCAGGCTATACTGAGAATAATATTGAGCTTTAGGCTAAATTAAACTTTAGTTTTTGAATGTATTCCTGCTGAAAAAACAAAACAAAAAAAAACACAGAAACCATTAAGTTTTTATTTTGGTCTCTGGTGGTTTTGCACTGTCGGCTTATGGTATAACTGGTTACCAATGGTCATTTGTGATTAGCAACGATATCCCTTCCTGAAATCAAATATGCGTGCCGACACATACAACCAGCACAAACAGAGACGTTCAACCGGCTACTGGTTCCAATATGAAAGGGACGCTCGTAACGCTCAACTTTCCTACAAGGACTTTTTTTTACATGGCGCAATCGCGCTGTCCTACTGCGCATGCGTTCCACTGGCCTGAAGCCGCTGGAGTGAAACTCTGCAGTCAGACCCTTCTCGCTACATCAGCATGCCTTAGTCTAGTTCTAGTAGCTGCTCAGTTTAGGCTACTGGCTCATGTAAATAGTTATATGATAAATAAAGTTAAACAGGATAACTGAAGTCAAATCAGTTTATGGAACAGTAAACTCAATTCAAAGTTTAAGGGCAATTCCACTCATTTTTCAAAATATCTTTAAGAATCATTAAGAGGTAAACAAAGTCATCCACAGTTGTTTGGTGTGAAATGCTCTGTTCTAGAGAACTTTTTTTTCACAGTGGTGGCTAAAGGAACTAGACGCCCAGGAGTTTAATGCCTCTAAAAGATAACATTCACATAGTTTTGAGAGAATGCATTTGGCCTAAAACTTATTTTTAACCCATTCACAGCAAAATAGTCCCCAAAGAAAGCTTATTTCTACAGACTCACCACAATCTTACGATTGTCAACATTACATATAGTATCTCAGAAAACACATGTAGGTTCACTGGTCATTCTGATAGTACTATAATATTATAGTGCCAAATACTATAAATCTTTAGTTTTACTTATTTTCTGTCTATTTTAGTTACTTTTTCCTTATTTTAAACAGCAGAGTACGCTAATGACTGATCACATGGCTATCAGATGTTTACTTCAGTTAGGTGTTTCCTGTGCCCCTAGTAATGGTACAAACAGGTACTTGGATAAGTTGTCAACTGAATGTCTGCTGTCCTTAATAATGACACAAACAGGTACTTGGATGCCTTACAACAGAATGCATGTTGTTCTCACATAATCCTTAACAGATTAACCAGTGGCTGCATGACAAATACTCTTTATAAAGTCCTGCATTAAGACCTGTTGGTCAGACTGGGTTGTTGCAGATGGACAGCGCACTCTTCAAAAAAAGACATCATCCCTGCAAACCCTACTCTCCTGAACTCTCTTCATTGACACAGATAAAGATTTACAACACTGTAAAGAAAGGTTTCCACTTCAGAGATAGAAGGTTTTGTTCCAGCAGCAGCGTTACGCTCCACATATTTCCACAGTGGCAGTGAAAAAGTCAGTTACAAATCTGCACTGATATTTCATTTTAGAATTACAGATGAGGTAAAACAGTCTATAATATCTCACCTTTTTAAGAGGAGACTACCTTACAGTACAGCTAAGACATAATATTAATAATAATAGTAATAATAATAATAATGATGACATGCCATTTTAAGTACAGTAAAGGACAAATCTTTAAAACAGTATATAGTTTCAGTGGTCTTTTCCAGGCGTCTCTCATTTACTGTCTTATATGGAAGCCACAGTAATCAAAACTTGGCATCTGAGTGCTTCTAATCTTTTTCTTGTATTGTTTTTAGCTCCATTGCACTGTATGTTTCTGAGCCAAACCAGTCTGTGTATCCCAAATATAGTTCTGAAGAATGAATATGATTTTAATACATGAAATGTAATAAAAAATCAAACTGAATATTGACCTTAGAACCAAAAATCGAATTAAACCTCAAAATATGCCAATACACCCCTAATAATGCTCATCATAATAATCGTTGTAATAATATTACCACTAACACCACTACTGATGATGATAATAATACATGTTAATCAGAATAGTAACTCCACCCATTACACCGAAAACTATCTGCAGGAAGTTTTACCTAAATTAATCAGGGGGTCGTCTGTCTTGGGTTGGGACGTCCCAGCTCCGTTCTCCTTTTTCTTTTCTGCAGCTTTGCTCTTCTTTTCACTGCGCAACATCTCTGAGCGCTCTTCGTCCTCTTCTTTCTCTGTGGAGGAAATCTCTTACGCGTCGAGACTGAGAGCAGCACTAACATCCTCTGTCTTCGTCCACTGCTGGTAATTTATCCGGACTGAGGGAGGGCCAGGACCTGCCCACAGCTCAGCATGGCAGCAGGAGGGGCTGAGAGGAAGCCGATTAGGCACATGAGCGAAGGATACCGCCTCTTTCTCTCCCTCTCTTTCTTTACGAACCTCTCTAGCTCTGCTCTCCGAGCTTTAGCTGAAACAGAGCGCCTCGGTCAGTGATGCTCCTCAAAACTGCTGCTGCTGTATCCGGGCTGCAACCCCCCTCCCCCCCCTTCTCTTCCCTCAGCCCCCCACATCAGCGGATAAACCCAAACACACTGTCATATCTTGGCTGCTTCAAACGTGCTGCGTGACCTAATTTAAACAGTAGCCTGTTGGGTGCCGTACAGTGAAGAAAATAGCTGTTCAGAAATGCAAAGAATAAAATCACAAACTCAAATCTGACTGATTTGTTCCTATCTGTGAATTCATTCAGACGCTAAGGCAGGGATGGCTTTGCTCAGTCAAAGTAGTGCTGTAGAAAGCAGGTTTATACAGGGACGACTTAAAGATACTTGTTACAATGCTGCCCTCTAGCGGCCAACTTCATCATAGTGCTCTGTATAAAAATCAACATGAATGTACAGAAATGTGCTTTAGAAAGAACTTCACAGCCACTCGCTGATAACGGAATACACCGAGGGGGCGATAGATTCAGTGAAATGTTGAAATTAGTGTTTATTAGTGGGGTTTGGTGTTTCGTCTATTTTAAATGTGAACAGACTCCACCAGCAGTGCTAACATGGTGCTAACATATCATTCACGCTAAAATCTGTCAGTTATGTGTGTTACTGAGGGAGTTTAACCCTCAGCGGTGTGGGACTGTAATCTGAACCACAGAGTCGCTGATTTTTTCCCTTCATGATCTTCGACTCCACCACGTGACAGGAGCCGGAACTAAACTCGCAGTAGTTTATTTCTGAAAGCAGATGTAAACAGTAGTGCTGGCCGCTCTCGTTCTCTTATGAGCGGAGCTGGCTTTTCCGTTTCTGTGTCAGTCTGGCTCTTCTGTCACTCGGACAGTCTGCTCAGCTTCTTGTCATGGGCTCTTTGTAACGCTGAGCGCGTGAAGCGGGCGCTGTGCGGTCAGACAGAAGGACAGCAGGTGAGGTGAGTGAGTGGCCTCCGCGCACAGTCTGACAGTTGGATTTGTAACGTTAGCTTAGACAACCGAAGAGAGAAATCGCAAGCTTACACCAGTTTTCCTAACATTAGTCAGCATCTGAAAAATATCTCTGCCTGTTTTTTGTGTTCTTCGTGCACTGTTCGAGGATAATATAGTGACCCTGGCTGTGTTGCCCGCAAACTGACGGTGCCAGCGCTGTCTGACAAAATAATAACGTGGCTAACTGAATTTAATGTTATAGACGAATGACTGTTTCTTGGTACCACAGCAAAGCTAGCTTCACTTACAGCTCGCCTCATTGAACTGAATTCCTCTGAAATGAGCCTTGGGCCTTACAGCCCTCCAGCTATGGAGACCATAGAGCCACAGAGAGCCACCACAGCTCAGACTGAAGGAGAAGACTGTCAGAGACGCTTTCAGGCAGCAGTGGATGTCATTCACAACCTGCCCAAAAACGGCAAGTATCACTACATGCAGTAAATAGCAGCTCTCAAAGGGGCATTCCGGCCTCAAACTAACATTTGTTGTGATTCATGTTATGTAATGTGTTCTGCAGTGCAGAATTGCATCCCTCATACTTAGTGTTTTGAAAGAATTCACGATTTTGTATTCTTTTTGTGTTTTTGTCCATCAGCGTTGTCTCATTACAATACCGAGCATGCATTGAGCAAATAAGTCATACAAAGATTGGTAACCCCCCCACTGCCATAAAGAAACGCATTGATGTCCAAGCTAATAAATACAGACATGATATTCGACTTCCTAGCAGTAAGGTTAGCTAGGTTTAGACAGCAAGTGGGGAGAAAAAACAGCCTACCCTCAAGTATCCCTCCTAGTAATAGTGATTTAAAAACTCCTACCTTCAAGATACATCAGATGGGGTTCTTCCTAGCCTTCAAACCAGAAAATTACACTTTTGAGATTATTTTGGCATTATACTGTAGGAGGCGAGTAAGCATGTTTACAGCAGCTGTAGCGATTGTTACGTTTTTATTTAGGCCTGGGTGTCCCTTTAAAGCATGTGTACCAGATGAGCTGTAAGGCGCTGGATATGGTAGGAGAGACTGTCAATTCAGTTTAGCATCCATCTTACGTTCCTAGTGTTTTATTCAGCTGTAATGTTTTCAATGTGATGACCAGGTTCCTACAGGCCTTCCTATGAAGTGATGCTGCGCTTCTATGGTCTGTACAAACAGGCTGTGTGTGGCCCCTGCAGAGTTTCCCGGCCCGGCTTCTGGGACCCCGTTGGCCGCTACAAGTGGTGAGCGTTGTGGTGTTCATGATTGTTAATACCATGGTTGTAGCTCCACTTCCCTAAAGGGACAATAGAACCTCCTGCCCAGTGGTGTGCCTTTCAGATGCTCATGCCTTAGGTTTTTAGTAGGGATGCATCGATATTGATAGTGTTCGCGTGTATCGGTCTGATACCATCCTCCTTTATTTATACTCATAAAGATTCACTAATACCAGTTGATTATGTGTGATGTAGCGTACACTGCTGTGCTAATAAACAAACTCAGTGAACAAGGATCTGCTCACACAGAGAAGTGCTAACTGACTGTAGTGGTCAGACACAAAGTTGTTCATCACTTTAAACATTACACCTAGGTACATTCTTGCTAGGAATAGACTGTCGATTTTAAGATAGTCTCATAATTATGACTCAGTATCTCATAATTGCTACTTAGTATCTCAGTATTATGACTGCCTATCTTATAATAACAAGATACTTTGTCATAATTGTGATAGACTGTCATGATAATGAGAGCCTGTCTTATAATTATGACTTGCTAGAATTAATAGTATGGAGTAAATTTCTCTAAATTATGACTTACTATATCAATTAGGACTTAGCATCTTGTAATAATGAGAAAATATTCTCATTATTATGAGACATTAAGTCATTATTATGAGATCTTAAGTCATAACTGAGATACTAAATCATAATTCGGATTATAACATACTATATTTTTTTCATGTGGCAGAAACAAGCGTCCATATTATTCAGCAAACCGACAGAACATGAAGTATTTAATTATATAATAATCTATAGGCCAATCAGATCTAAGAGTTATTGCAGTGTGAAAAGAGAGCCACATTTCGACAGCAGTGAAGTTCATTTTCACATAATCAAATTTGTGTCAAATGTATGTAGAACATGCAGATTTCTGTCATAACTGTCATAAAAGCTAAACGACCATCTACAAATTACGTTGCGAGGGGCAATCATCAGAATAAGACTGAGTCTTATGAGTTCTGGCTTATTGTTTCAGGGATGCCTGGAACCGGCTTGGAGACATGAGTCGTGAGAATGCCATGGCTGCTTATGTTGATGAGATGAAGAAAGTCGCACAGGAGGTATTTACTGTGCCAGACTTTTTTGAAATCTCTTACTTTCACAGTATAAAATCTAAGAGAGACAACCCTGTAGCTGATCACTCTAGAACAAATATTTTGAGCTCTTGGTGATTTCCCTGCTGAAACACACCTGATTAAACTCTGGTCTTGTAAATTAAGGGTTTCCTGCAAACATTGGTTTATGCTCCTTTTCTTGTGAATTTACTTTGGCAAAATTGTTTAATTAACATATTCTCATTATAAGGTTATAGACAGTATGCCCATAAATGAGAAGACAGCCTCCTTTTACCACCATTTTGAGCCACTCTACCATGTCATTCATGACATGCCCAGACCACCTGAGGCACTACTGAGTCTGAGACCAGGTGAGGTTTGTCTGAGAGGGCTACATGTATTTTATTTTAACAGTTATCATACTGAAAAAAACTGTATTTTACTGGTATTAATAGACATTTTGTGTGATAAATGCTTCTTACATAAACGTTAGTCACAGAAAAGTAATGTATATTTTTATGTCCTTCCTATGAATATAAAAAAGAAAACACACTGCAAACTTTTTCTTGTTACCAGAACTAGATCAATACCATGCTCACTGAAGAGACATCATTCTGACATTTACATTTACTGAGCCAGAGCGACCTACAGTCAGCTCCATACTTATTGACATCCTTGAGACAGATTGATAAAAAAGGTCATGAAAAATGTCTTCATGGATATTTAGCTCCATCCCTGCAAAGAAAATATGAGAGAAACATTTATTGAAGTATAGTATTTGAAGTATACTAAGTCTAAGAAAACAAAATCATTAAATATTTTTATCAAACCTACATGTTGCATTTATTGCCAGCTCTGCATTTACTACTGTGTATAGCCTTCATTTGCCAACGTAACAGTCATGAGTCTTATCCTCTAATGCTTGATGTGATTGTAGAATACAAAGCAAGGAATCCCCCTCCTCAATACAGATTTCTCCAGGTCTTCCAGGGCCCTACATTCTTTTTTGTGCACAAGTCTTTAGCCCACCCAAGAGGTTTTCAGGGGACTGGGAGGCTGTGTCAAAAGCTTGATTCTGAGGTCATTTAACCCTTTTTTGAGGATTAGGGCATATGTTTTGGATCACTGTCCTGCTGGAAGAGCCAGCCATGACCCAGTCATCTTTTCTGTGAGGTAGATTTTTGTAATTTTGTACTTCTTGGAGTATACTCACAAGGTTCCCAGGACTTAAGTTGAGTTAAAATAGCCCCAAAATATCACAGATCCTTCACCATACTTAGCAGTGGGCATTGAGGTTCTTGCTGTATAACCGTTATTCTTTGTACACCAAACACACCTTGAGTGTCTGTTTCCAAAAAGCTCAATTTTTGTCTCATCTGATCATAGAACCTGGTTCCAGTCCAAGTTTCAATAGTGTCTAGCGAACGACAGGTGCTTCAGTTTGTGGTTAGGTGAACGAACAGGCTTTGTTCTGACATGCCTTCTACATAGTTTGTTGGCATATAGGTGACGTCTGATTGTAGATCTGGAAACTTGGTGACTTCAAAATGCTACCATATTCTGCAAATCTCCAATAGTGATCCTTGGAGCAATTTCTCTGTTCTCTAACCAGTCTCCTCAAAATACACTTGTATCCTCTTCTAGACAGGTTCACTACAGCTCCAGTCGTTTGAACCTTCTTATTTTCCTAACAGTGAATACAGGAATTTTCAGGAAGCGTTTTAGCTGTTGCCTGATTTCCAAAGGTCAATAGATGATTAAAGGAAGTAATCCTAAAGACATTTTTTCAATACCTTTTTTTTTAACGAGGGTGCCAATAACTCACGAAATACAAAGTAAAGGATTTAAGCTAAAACAACACAAGCCTATGTGATGTAAGGTACTACATATGTAATCTGTAAGGACAAAGGGTAGAGTTTTTTTTTTAATAAACAAATGTTTTGTGCAGAACACACTGAATGTGCATGAAAGAAAAGTGCACCACAAGCTTAAAATTCTGTTCTAGAACATTTTGAAAATATATTATGGAAAGAATTACAGTGTAAACTCATGGTCTGTGTTTGTGGTCAGCGATAAATGCTAATGAATTGGCCGCTAGTTCAGCTGCGGAGGGGGACAATGGTGCGCTGCAAGAGGAAACAGCCCGAGAGCAAGTACAAGAGCTAGAACTGGATCTTGAGCCTGTCTCTAACAGTGACCCTCAGATTGAGAGTGCAGGTAAACTTTAATGCAAAGTTAGGTTTATACACAGTCCTAATTAAAGTTAATTTTTTTTATACATAACCACCTAAATTTAGCCTGAGTGTCAGATGATCACTGACTTTATTCTGTTACAGCCTGAATCACTAATGCTTAAAACTGTATATACCAATAGGTTAATGTGCAGTAGGACTGTGACTAACATTTATTTTATAATGCAACTAATGGTTATGTTTTTAATCAATAAGTCTATCAACTATTGTTCAGTTAATTGACTAAATGAGCCACTATGCCTACTGCTGTTTCCTCTCACTCTGCCCTGTCACTGCACTGCCATCAAGTTCTAGTGTGGTGGCCGTGGTAGTCCCCCTGCCAGGCTGTCATAGATCCGTTTCCATTGGCTGAAATCACATGTGGTTGCCTACAGTCATATGCAAAAGTTTGAGAGCCTTTGGTTACATTTTGTTGTGAAAATAAGTTAACACATCTTCTACAGAGAACACACTTCTGCACATTTTAATGCACGATTACTGTTTAGTTACTGAATTTAACATAGTGGAAAAAAAATAAATTATAAAAATGACCTGTGCAAAAGTTATGACACATTTTATGCTTTGTTTCCTAGCATGTTAAACTCTGCACATCAATAGAAATTGTGCATTAAAATTTGCATGCCAGTTGACCGTGTCAGTTGGTGTGCAAACCTTTGCTGCTTACGTGGATGTCATAAATGAAATGGTTTGAAAAACATTTTTAATCATTAATAAGAAATTGCAATTGTAGGAAATCATTACTTTCCAAAGGGTCACTACTTACAATATGCTAGGTAGCTTACATTGGCTGCTCTAAAAGTTTAGCTACTGGGGGACCATTTGGGCAAGGGACAGGTCAAACTGCAGCAGTTACCTAACTAGCTAAAATTGCTTTATGCGGAGGTTATGACAGGGCGAATTAATTTCAATAAACAGGCAGCTTGTGTCTATGGTTATTTTATGTTTCAAACAGCTGCAGCTGCTGTCCCAATTAAATAAGGTGACAACGAGAAGCTCTCATGGAAGTGCTGTAGCTACACACAAAAAGCTGAATAGCTCTCAAGCTTGGTATTTTGTTAAAATCACTTTATGAAATTAAGGCTTAAACAAAATAAGACGTTAAATAAGCTTGTACCAAGAATCACTGCAGTAGCTCAACAGTATCTAATGACATAGCCTCTATATGATGATGATGGACCAGCTCGACTAGGGGGACTACTACTACTACTACCACAGCCACCAATCGAACTGTGCAACAAGTGATTTGCTCTTTTAAGGTGTAATGAGTAATAGAAGGTACATCGCCCCCAGTGCTCGCTGTAGTGTACTACAGTCTATCAGAATGGTACGTATCTTATGAATATTAATGAGCACTATTGTGTTTAAGTAAACAATTCATCGCTGTGTGTACTTCTTTTTCATAACATTGTCATTGACTAATCAACTTTAGGGCTCCACAGATTCATTTTAATGTACTATCTGACCAAAAGGAACATCAGAGTTAGTTAGAGTTAGTTTTGCCTGTGGTGTTCAGTGTGTTTGTCTGGGGACTGTTTGGTCCTGAGCACATTACTGGCGGTGAGTATTCTAACAGAATCTAATTTAAAAGTAAAAGTGAGCAACAGACGCTTGACGTTGTATAGAAGTTTATTGATCTCTTCAACGTAATGATGCAAGGCGCTCTGAAAGCTTGATACATACGTTTGATATTGTGAGTTTGATGATGCAATATCTTGAAGCTTGCTTTTAGCAAGCATGGCATCCATATGATGAACCTCAAACAAACACCTGCTTTTATCATTTACTGAATGATAAAGAAGACTGATGTACCTTCTACATATGTGTAGACTTGGCTCCGTCAGAGGTTGTGGTGCTAACTAGTGACTCAGAAAGTGAAATCTTCTGCGACTCAGTGGAGCAGCTGGACAACATTAAGGTATGAACCTCAAAGGTTGGCTCCTTGGCAACACCAGCACATGCTATTGTTAGACCTGACTAGCTCACTGTGCACATTATTTGCCCCATACAAACAGCCAGTTGCTGGGCCATACAGTGACCAAAATAGGCATGCACTAACAGAGCCCATTGGTGTCCAGGGACAAGACTACAGACCCATCTCCCAGGTGACCCAAATGGGCGCCGGGCAGGGTGGAGAGGGGACTGGGGATGGGCGTGGCCTCCCAATGAGAAGGAGGGACCCAGGAAGAGAGGGAATGAGGCATGGATGGAGAGAACCTCCTGGTAAGTTATATGAAGATGAGGAGAAGGTGCAAGGAATCACCTTTTACATACCTGGTCTTAATACAGTACTATGCACAAGTCAGAGACCACCATTTATTTAATTACCAGTCCAAACAACCATTAAGTACATTATTCATTTTTCAGGATCAGGAGTAATATCAGTATTGGGTGTGCCAACCCTTTACCTTTTATTACCTTTTTTTCCAGAGACTTGTTTTCAGTTTTTCAAAGAAATCTGCAGGGATATGTTTCCTTACCTCCAAAGTTTAGTTATCACTTGGTTGCATTTTTTGCTTCTCATGATCCAAGTAATCCCAAGCACAATCAGTGGTGTTCAGGTCTGGACTCTGGGGTGGCTAATCCATATTCTGAGAACACCAAGAGCTTCTTTGTTTGATTACTTTTCTCTGTAACAGCTACACATCCTTTCATACCCATAGCATTGAAACACTTTTTTTTTCCAAGCGGAGCTTTATTTTCTCCTCTCTCTCAAAAACAAAAGCTTTAAGTACTGTTTATGTGATGGTGACAGTTTTTGTGGTCTACCAGGTCTTGCATGGTTTCTATTTATTTTCTTCTGTGGATTATTTTAAATCTAATCCGTTCAGAAATATCTCCTGAAAATTGAATAACTTATACTTGGCTGTTTTGACAGGAAATTAAATAATTGAAAGATGGTCTCTCACTTTTGCACAGTTCTGGATTCTGGTGTGTTTATAATGACATTCAGTGTTTAAAGTCTGGGCTTGTTTTTTGGCCATAGTAAAATTTATGGTCTACTTTCAAATGTAAGTAATAAAGTAGTAAATATTAAATACATTTTTAAACCTGTGATATGGCATTTTTCTTGTCTTTATTCCATTGCTGCCTACAATTGTGATACCATTTCAAGATGCATTGAACTATTTCCTAAAGAATCACAACAGGATCAAATCGTTGTGAGATCTGAGATTTAGACTCTTGGTGCATATGTTTTGTGCTGTGATATACCCAGGGGGTATTCCATACAGCAGTGGCAGACGAGTGGGGCGGCCAGCATCAGGCGCAGGAGGAGGAGATGATAGAAACACTGAAAGACTTCAGGATTGCACTCAGGTGCAGCAGCAGATCGTGCTGGCGCTGCGCAGGCTCCGAGAAGACATGCAGAGTGTGATGGAGCGGCTGGAGGTGGTTGAGGGTCTGGCTGCAGCTAATGTAAGAGCCTGCTATAACCATAGACAAAGCAGTGAATATACATAGTGAATAATTACTATCAAAACAGGGAGGTCAAAACAGTCTATAGCCATACAAATAATTGAATAACGTTACTAAATATGGATTACAGGATCTGAAATTTAAGAGTATTGATGCTATCCTCAGTGTTAACATGAGTACATGCTTCCAGTCCTTTGAGAACAAATTAAGCTCTTGTATCAAGTCAGATAAAAAGCCTACTCACTGTTTAAAAATATGTTTTGGTGCATTAGAGAAACAGGGATGTCTGATGTCTGTGATTTTAAATTGAATTGACACTATGTGGGATTCACACCTCTGGGGAAGTGTAATTGAACAGTACATCCACATTATCTGACTGTAGGGTGGTACACGAGAAAATGTTCCATATCAAAGCTTTGTATTACACAGAGGATCCTTAGAAAGACTTTTATATCTAAAAATTCTGATAGCCAATAAATAAGTCGTCAATCTGTTATCTCTGACAATGACTACAAGCTCAAGGATCATAAGATCACACTGCAATTACTGAATAAAATACCTTCATAACCTTTGTCTTTGACACATGAAGTTTAGATCAGCAGTCTAGACACCAGAGTGAGAAATTTACACGTTATGCTTATATATTGTATATATTATCACTGAGAGGACAAAACCTTGTATATCCAAAAGTGGTAAGAAGGAAAAAAAATCTTAACTTTCAATGGAGGTTAATGGAAAAGATCTTTTTCCAATAATTTTGGACCATTTCTCTCGATCCCCTCAAGTGAACAGTGTAAAGGGTAATAGGCATTTTGAAACAATGTAAAAAAAAAAAACAAAAATGGAGATAAAAAGTTTTGTCCTGTCAGAAATGATAATTTATATACGCTGACCAGCCACTTCATTAAGAACACCTCCTTGTATCTACACTCATTGTCCATTGTATCAGCTCCACTTACCATATAGGAGCACTTTGTAGCTCTACAATTACAGACTGTAGTCTGTTAGTGTGTGTTGGGCTGGTACGAGTGGATCAGACACAGCTGTGCTGCTGGAGTTTTTAGGTCACTGCTGGACTGAGAATAATCCACCAACCAAAATTATCCAGCCAACAGCGTCCTGTGGGCAGCATCCTGTGACCACTCCTGAAGGACTAGAGGATGACCAACACAAACTGTGCAGCAGCAGATGAGCTATCTTCTCTGACTTTACATCTACAAGGTGGACTGACAAGGTAGGAGTGTCAGTGTTAGGAGCAGGTAGGAGTATAATGGAGTCAGTGGACACAGTGTTTACAAACTCCAGCAGCACTGCTGTGTCTGATCCACTAGTACCAAAGCAACACACACTAACACACCACCACCACATTGGTGTCATTGCTGTGCTGAGAATGATCCGGCTTATATATCGTATGTGTAAACTGAGACAGATTGTGTTCAGAGGATGTTCACATTGAGAGTTTGCTTTCTTCCTGATTGTTGCCATTTTGATTACCATTTGAAATACTGTACGACTGTGACTTAAACTGTGGATAATATGGACACTGTTCTTACTTGTTTATGACTCCCCTCCCACTTTTTTTTCTTCTTTCAATACTTCTAAGGCTCAAAATTCGCAGTGGAGATCTCATATGCAATTCACAGCTCAACAGACTGAGGTAAGGCTGAAGTAGTGATAAAGCAGCAAGTCAAGACATTTAAAAATGAAAAATATATTAAACATTTTTCCGTATGAGCAACAAAGGGCATTCACACGGCAATGTTTAAGACATCCCACTTGTGTCCACAGGCGGAAAAATGGTGGCCATTTGATGTCTCTGGCCGAACGTTGCTTCTCCTTTTGGTCTGGCCTTTCGTCGCTCAGGGAATGGTGTTCTTGCTCAGGCGGAAGAAGAAAAAACCTCATATATCTGTCATATAACTCTATCTTAAGCAAGGAACGCTTCATCCTTGTTACAGAATCATCAATATAGTGTTTTTTAAATGTGAACCTAAGGTTAAAGATAAAGGGGTAAGTGCTGCAGTGGGGTTGTCTATTCTCATCTATAATGAAGAAAGGCTAATATCAATCTTCATAGCTACTCTCAGAAGAAAAAGAATGGCCGTTGATTGTTGAAACTAATCTATTTCGGATTTTTATGTGTCTTTTTTTTTGTTGAACAAAGATGGGATGTATAAGTCTGTGTCACTCATTCAATAACAGATGATATTTGTAACTATGTTCCTTTAAAAGTATTAGCACTAGACTGTAGCCTTTCTAGTACCAGATTTTATGTTGTATGGCACAAATTTCTGTTCAAATTGGGCAATATGAATGTAATCTGTATGTGTAAGAGTTCTTAATCAAGAAAGCCTTAAATGACTTGTATGGCCTCCACAGTAGGCTTTACTGCAGGCCTACAGAGATAAACACTAATGAGAAAAGGTATTCAAGAGAATTTATAATACCGCCTTGCACAATTTGTTGAACTAATTCAGAGGAATTTACTTACATTCAACAAATATAATGTCACGTAAAATAGAGCCTGTCGGTGCACCAATACTTAGAGTAAACATGAAAAAGGAGTAAGCAAAAGGAACCGACGCACTCGGCTGCATGACTTTGATGAGTGAGCAAGTCCTGGAGTTTTGCTCCTTGTTACCTTTCTTTTTGCGTTAAGTTTCGACGTGTGTGGGATAAAGCGGTGTTTTGCATTTCAACATCTCTTCAAACCCAAGCAAACATGCCTCTTTAGGCTGCTATGAACTCTTGAGTATTTTATTCAGAAGATATCAATGGATCATTTCAGTGTATTGTCTGCTATCATCTGGGTCAGACTCACATTATCATACTGTATCATCTGAGGGGAGTGTTGAGCTAGATTATTCACCTTATTCGCTGGCTAAGGCCGCGTTTATAAATCAGAAATACCCGTGTTATTAAGCTCTCCTTTTTTGGTCGAACGACATTTCTATGGCGTGCAGTTCAACTTGTAAATACCCTCACAGCTAACACAGCCATGTAGCTTAGCTAAAGATTGGAAGTTGTTTTGATACATTTCATGTGAAAATGCGCCCTCAGCGACCTATTTCAGCCTATTTTTGGCTCCGTGCCCATGAAACGACCACAAAATGATCAACAGAACAGTTTTCTTGGACGCCAGATCCCACCGAAAAAGGCCTTCGCGTTTTTGTTATGAATGTGCAGATGTTATGCAGCTAGCTAGCAAACGTTAGCTTAACTTCCCTAGCAAGGAATGGACGACTCGGTTTAGTGAACAAGATGGCTAGGTTAAATATGTCCTATTTTAAACCTGTTTGGTGTATCATGCCGTGTAGATGGATTCAAAAATGATTTGAAACAAACAGATGTAGACAAAATGAGTTATAGGCACCGAGCTAGCTACAAGAAGCCCGCTTAGCTCGTTAACCTAACGTTAGCTGAACCAGCTGGCTGGAGAGATCCTCCTGAAAAAGGATTGTTTGAGGTCGGATACTGTTTGAATATCCGTTCATATGTGAAACGCAGCAAAATGTTTTTATTAAAGTTGTCCTGAAACAAACATGGTTTTGAAGTATTATCTATCTGCCCGACTGGGTGAAGCTCGCTGAGCTAAACTCCATTCGCTAACTAGCAAAGCAAGCAGAACAGCTAACACCCCTCATTCACTTCACATTCAGAGCAGGTTCTGTTAAAAACACGCTTAATAAACGTTGGTTGATTTGTGTTGAGAAGTAACGTCTCATTTTCGACGTGTAAAATCAAGTTGGCCTGGGGAAAAACGTTCGTCAACGCCACGAACACAGACGTTACCAACACACTGACTGGCTAATCACTGCCGTGAAGAAGGACTACTTTGTGGATGAAGAGCGTTTAATCCCACCGAAAGCGCAAGGTAAGATTACGTTTTTCGAGTGAACGATAATTCCAGAAACTGTCAAAATAACGAGGTGTTATTCTCTTCTACGAATTTGTAGTTCAGTGTGTTTACATTTAATTTCACTATTTCGATTCTAATCGCTTAAATGTTTAATCTTTTTACACTATAAAAGGACCGTCCTCCCCATATCAGAGCCGATGGTAGCGTCCACTAGAGTGACCGGGACAGCTTTCTGGTTGATTGACACGGAAAACGTCCAATCAGAAGACTGCTGCGGGGTAGCGAGGGTAGAAAAAACTTTTGTACCAATGAGGTTCTCGAGTGGGCGTACCTCGATCGGGACTGAAAACAATCGATGAATTGTGGGAAAGGTAGTTTGTTAGCGGGACTCGCCGTTATAGGCCTATGGAGAAATGAACTTCAACTCCCAAAAAGCAGAGAAAAAACGAGGACTCGCCGCATGCGCTTTTTACGTGGGGAGGTGATAAATTCACTAGCTCCCGTCCACTCCGTAGCAGAAGCGAAAAGGAGTTTCCAGCGGGTGGAAATGTGCTCGGTCCTGTCAAGAAAGCAAGCTAGTCGCAGACGGAACGGAAAGAGTTAACATTTAACAGCCTTTTAAGTAGAGTAACAACCGAAACAGAGGACTCGAAATAAACAGTAAGTTCGTTTCCTAACGACTTTTTCCCCCAGAATTAGTTGTTGACGTATCAGATAGTTTTGATTTAAATACTAATGGTAAGTTAACGTTCACTTTTTGAGAACCGCCTCTTGTGTAAGTTTGTATTTTTTTTTAAACGCCTGACGCCTTTTTATACGGTGTTTCCACCCTCCTCGTGTTTTCTGTTTCTCTGTTCTCGTCCTCGAGTGTTTAAAGAAGGTAGTGCGCCCTTTTTCATCACTCTGATCACAAACTTGTCTCTCCTTCAGGTGGGAGTGTACAGTTATGGAGCTCATTAAAAGCGATGCTGCGCCGGAGGCTGACGACAGGGGGCGGCAGAGAGATGACAAGCAGCAGAGTGCCGTCTCGGAGAAGCAAGTGCAGCGGAGTCAGCTGGAGGTCTGTCCGGGACTGTTGTCTGGAGACCGCGGCCGGGAGAGGAGCGACCCGGAGCCCAAAGCCGGTGACGCTGCGGGCGACGATGGCCTCCTGGCGGAGAACACGTCAAGGGGTCCGCAGAATAAGGGTCCCGGCTGCCCCGGAGCCACTTCTCACGGCTTGCCGGGTAAGAGAAAGCACCGGCGGCGACCGTCGAAAAAGAAGAGGCGCTGGAAGCCGTACTTCAAGCTGACCTGGGAGGAGAAGAAGGAGCTGGACGAGCGGGAGACGGCGCGGGCGTCGCGGGTCAGAGCCGAGATGTTCGCCAAGGGTCTCCCCGTGGCGCCGTACAACACCACGCAGTTTCTGATGGAGGAGCACGACCGAGAGGAGCCGGACCTCAACACGGAGCTCTGCGGCCGCTTCGAGGACACGGCGAGCGAGGAGGAGCACTTCGAGGCTGCCGACGACGAGGACGAGGCGGCGCTGGAGGAGGAGGAAGGCGAGGGGAGCGACGGCATGGGGCGGCCGGGCCACGCGGGAGGAGGCGGCGAGTTTCTGCAGCGGGACTTTTCCGAGACGTACGAGCGCTACCACGTGGAGACGCTGCAGAACATGTCCAAGCAGGAGCTGGTCAGGGAGTACCTGGAGCTGGAGAAGTGCATGTCGCGCCTGGAGGAGGAAAATAATCGGCTGGAGCGGCGCGCGCGCAGGAGCGCGGGGGACTGCGGTGGCGGCGGGATCGAGAGCGCGCTGCAGCGTGTGCGCCAGCTGGAGAGCGAGGTGGAGAGACTGAGGGCGCTGAACGGAGAGCTGCTGCTGAACCAACAGCAGGGACTGAACGGCTCCAGAGCAGCAGAGCCTGAGCCCGAGAGAGAAAACCAGTGACAGACGAAAAAAGAAGATAAAAAAAACGTGGATATGTTTGGTTTCTGTTTTTAATCGTCCACTCATTCTCCGAGTTATTGTCTTAACTGTAAGCTGCGGTAGCTTTAATATGTGATGCGCTTTTCAGCCTGACAGCAAAAAACAAAAAAGGAGGTAATTTTCTTTTCTTACGAGAATTTTTAATATTACAGTTGTACGTGCGGTCCTATAAAGTTGGTCAGTTCGTTGTAACATAGGGTAGGTTTATTTTTTCCACGCGTTATTGACTTTGCAACAAAAAAAACACTCGACTGCTTTGCTTTCATAGTTGATAGTTGACGCGAGGAACAGATGCGATTTTTCTCTCGGACCCCTGAAAGGTTTGTGCAAGTTCACCGTAAAACCCACATACTGAATGTCCGAGCGCTTTTCGTGTCGATCAGTCCAGGAAAAAAATCGAGCTTTTTTTGGATGTTTTGCTGCTGGTGCACCTGATATTTCTGCTTCCTCTTGTTAATGCATGACCAAGGCAGTATGTAATAAAACTGTGGAATTTTTTTCCTCCAAATGTGGTGTCGATTAAATTATTTAAAGGTCATTTGTTTTGATCTGTCTGGTTAAGTTATAGGGAGTACAGCGAAGTAAAGCTTCCCCCTTTTAACTCACCTCTTGGTCTTGATGGTTCAGGACAAAAGATCAGACAGCTGGAGTCTTTAAATCGATCATGGCTTCATATTTAAACTAGCCTCCTTCAGAAATGGTCAGTGTGTCGTCCACTTGACCTTTATACCTTCTCAGGGCCACTGCTTTCTCCCTTATTAGTGCATATTTATTCAGGCAAGGAGTTGGACGCTCTACTAAACCAGCAACTGAGCAAATACACTGCAATCTTGTTATGAAGCTACAGGCTTTGAAATCCCAGTCATGTCGAGAATCAGGTGCTGTCATTTGATCATGCCCTGAGCCACATGCATGTTGTCTATCTCAGGCTGGTGTTAATTCCCAATGGGTTTGTTAGTGTATGACTTCCATTTCTCTCAATTCTGGCACTTTCTTTGTCTCCTATTACCAAAACGCTCAAGCAGTGTCATGAAAATAACTCCTTCCTCAAAATAGAACTTGTGTCAGAATCCTGTAAATGTAATAGATCATGTGAGCTTATAATATTGTGAGATGGTCTGTGGGCATGCTTTAGTATTTTGGTCCACAATTTATTCAAAAGGTGTTTTTATATAGGTAATAAACCACTGCTGCTGGCAGTCTGTAGTCTTCTTAAAGGACTGCTTATACTTTGGAGTTTAAATTCCAGCTGTGCAGTAACTTGAGTTGGTATGGATATCCACTTGCCTGAGTTCTATAATGAAAATTAATCCAAGTCTGTTGCTAAGAGGATTTTCCAAAAAAGATTGGATTCCTGATGTTCTCCCTTTTGAAACACACATACACAAGAGAAATAAGACCTCTTTATGTAACAGCACAAAAGTAAAAAAAAAATGAAACAGTTCAAAACAAATATTATATTATCATATGTATCATTTGTACACAAAGGTTAACTTAGCAAGGCTTTGTACAACTGTTACAAAACTTGGTCCACACAAGCACCCACATAGTGTATGAACATACGTGCACAGGGCAGTGACAGTGACCCACAAACACACAGAGGACAGACATGTTATAAGGGGGAATTGGAGTTGGCAGTAATATCTGGTCAAGATCTAGACAGTACAACTTGAACCGTCTGCAGCAGCTCATCAAAGCCACCGTGGGGAGAACAAGTACTGTGAGATCAAAATGCAGAAGAGAAAGAACAAGAGATTGAGTTGGCATTCCTGGAGCTTAAGGTAAGGTTATGCTGTTTCAGTGTAGCTGCTTTCAGCTGTTTTGCCACAAAACCGCTGTGTCTGTAATACTGTCATCTACACTCATTAAAGGGAAGACTTTTTAGAGGACGGGTGATGGAGAGCAAATCAGATCTTTGTGCAACACAACCATTTCAGCTGTTATTTTTTATTTATATCAGAGTTTTTCTAAAATATGAGTGAGTGCTTAAACGTTTTCATGGGCGCTCCACAGCCTTCTGTCCTTAAAACCACTTGAACACTAGTTGTGCACCTGAGTGTGGGAGCCATTTTGTGCTGTCTGTTGGTAATGCTGATAAGGGGCAGTGCAAAGTCTTGCTGATATGGAATGAGGATCCTGCTCTCTTCGTTGCTTTTGGCATAAAGTACCCTCCTCCAGTGGATGTGGGGGTGAGAAGAGAGACAGGAATTAAGCTGGAAAGGGCTCAGGTTATTTATTGCAACCAGTGCAGTATGCTGAATGGCCTTAAGCCTTTATTGCATAAATGTGGCATGAAATGTGTTGGTTTTTCAGCATGCTGCGCTTATGCAATTAATAACTGAAATGAATTTAGCTATAGTCAAGCTTCCCTTCGGTTAAGACTTCCACTGAACCTTCCACCTAGAGACCTCTTTTTTTGAGTAGGGCATGTATTTCCTCAGCTAAAGGAATCTGATTGGCACAGGCTTTTTGTTGTGTTAATGTAGTGACTCCCAGCCCTGTTCCTGGAGTAGCCCCCTCCTGCATCTACTCATCTGCTGCTCTAACACATCTGATCAACCAGTTTTTCAACCTGATCTCTATCTGCCACATCTGTTTCATACCACTGATTACCACAGACAATAAATTCAATAGGGTTCCCTGTGTTTAGAAATAAACAGGAAAGCAGTTGACTCAAAATTTACTTATACTGAACAGATATATGGCTGCAACACTTTTTACTGAAAAGATTTTACTGGAACTGCTTAAAACTGCCACATTAGTATCTGGTGTGACCACTATTTGCCTGACATTACTAGGGAAAAAATCAAACTACTGCAAAATGGGAGTAAAAACAAGTGTTGTGTTAAATTTTTGTTCAATATACAAGCCAACGGCCAGTTTCTGAATTCTGTAAAAGAATGTTCGTGTTACATTTATTTCCATGAAATTCGTAGCAACGGGCGGTTTTGCAGTGCAGACTTCCAGAGTGAATAAATTTTGGATGTGAAACTTTGTGTTGAGTCCAGCGCTGGCAAAATTCGATACGTGAATTCACGTCCTCTGAAAGAGCGACATTGTGTAGCAGTGTCTAAGTACAAATAATTAATCCCCACTGGCCTTATAAAATACATAATATAGAGACTGCATGATACATAATATTACCAATATTATCTTTACTTTTGTGATTTTACTGTTTGTGGTAGGTGAATTAGCCAGCTGGCTAACTGCTAGGTTAGCTATTCAGCTAAGCACAGCTGCACACTCCAGTCATGCTGCTGCCACCGACCACGTCAGTTATCTACACTTTTTTGCTACGACTCTGTAGACAGCATTGTACTCTCATGAGAACATAATTACCTAGTCTACTTATGTGTAATTGTGTTTTTTGTTTATGGCTGGCAAGTTGGCTAGCTGGCTAAATGCAGCAAAATGGAGGATTTTCTTCCAGTCCAGACTTTCATGAGGTGAACTCCAAATGTCGTTCACTTCAAGGTTTCTGGTATCTATAGTAATCAAAGAGAAGCATGTGAAAAGTCTCATGACTAAAAGAACAAATTAAACAGAATTGTAGCTTAATTTATAAATATCTTTGAAAAATTCTTGAGCAATGTTCTTTTCTAAGCACAGGGAACAGTGTCAAAATTATTGTCTGGTAATCAAATTCGCACTACAGATGCTACAGTTAGAGATTAAGTTTAAAAAACACTGAGGTACTCATTTAACCATGCAATTTACACTTTAATTGGATTTTCAAAAATTTCTGCACAATTCAGTCACTAAGATGTAAACACAATTCTGACCAGTTTGATGTGAAATGCTGCATTGGATAGAGACTTACTAACTTTCCAGTGGTGGATAATAAGAACCAGTGGTCACAATGTCTACAATGCAAATGTAGTCATTTTATTTACTATCCAAAATCACCAGTAAGCCTACACATCATTCTACCATGGATGGGGTTTTAAAAAAAACATGCTTTAGGCCAAAAACCTTCTCAAATTATCATAAAACAATGTCTCAGACAACAGACAGCATGTCTGTTATGATTTCATGTAATAACTTTCTGTGAGGTAACTTTTGGAGGCATTAATTCCTTTAGTTCTCCGCTTCCTGTCGCCACAATTCTTACTTGGTAAGTTTCTCTAAAATCATACATCTCACATCAAACCACTCTGAATGACTTTGTTTACAGCTGAACAATTTAATTTCGCAGAAATTTTGAAAAAATGGTTGAATTCCTCTTTAACAAGCCTTTCTTTGCTGGGTTATAGCAAGAAAACACTAAAATATGCAGGCCAAGAGTACTGCAGGACCAGTCTTGGGAACAACTGGGTTATTGTATTAGATTTTAGTGTGGTTTTATGTGATTGGTCAGCCTTCCCCAGGTACGTTGCCCACCACTGTGTGGCGTCTCCAGTCTCTTCTCCTGCGACGCGTCTCTGGTGAGCTGTGCCGTCGCTGGGCACCTGACCTCCACAGGTCGTTGGCAGAGGCTAGGAGGTTGGCCTGCACCTGGCCCAGCCAGCTCTGCTGGACGGGGGGATCACGGCTGGGGGACATGGCCTGTAGCAGCTTCTCCTGCCCTCGGACAAGCGAGGCTTTGACGCGGGACAGTCCTACAGAGGCCCGCTCCAGCCCTAGATCCTCACCGTACAGAGAGCGGGGGCGCACTCTTTCTCCTCGAAGCTTCTTCCGTGTCACAGGGTTTGTCTGGCCGTTTCTGTGAGCACTGCTGGGGCAGGAGGAAGAGGACGGGCTGGCAGGACGACCTGTGGCTCTCAGGCCTATGGAGCTTTGGTGTGAGTAGAGAAAGCTACGAGGACGCGGCTGTGCCCTCAGACCAGTGTCTACCTGTATACCATCATCATCCTCTTGCTGACAAGCTGCATTCTCCCTCCCTCCCAATTCTTGTCCTGCCCCTTCACATGACCCCATGCCTGCCTCTCCTCCTCCGTCCTTCTCCTCCACCTCTTCAGCCTGACTTTCTGAGCTTAAAGGAGGGCACTCTGTCTCCTCGTCTCCCTCTTCACTACCCCCACCCTCCCCAAGCTCCCTGTAGTTGCTGGCTTTGACCGGCTCGTGCTCTAAATCTTCGTCACTGCTGCTATCCGCAGGGCAGGTGCTCTGGTGCTTCTTTCTCTTCCGGGTCATGGCAGATACGATGGACATGGGGAGGAAGTCCTTGGCACTCACGTCTTTCTTTGAACTCAACGATCCCTGCCACAAGAGATTCAACATGATACTGTTAATTATTTCCAGCACAAACTGATGTACCTCTGTTGTTATAGCTGATAGCAGTACATTTTTTACTATTCCTCTTGTATCATGCCGCTGACCAACAGCTTTTAAGTAAAGACAATGTTCCGCAACATGCCACATTCGTGGCAGAAGAAACTGCCAAATTAACTCTATTGCGTGGTGTTGCCATATGGCAACAATTACTTTTTACATTCTTTTAATTTGCCTGACAACAATATAAAAGTCCATTTTTTTGTCTTTGAGAAAACTGAACAGATCATATGCCTTCCTTTTTGCAGTCTGTTGCACATGGCAATGCCTGGCTTCTGAAGCCCTCACAAAATGTGTGTATAATTCAATATTTAAGCACAAAAACTATCATGAAATGATAAAATATAATTGTTGCCATATGGCAACAGCATTAAACAAAGGAACTGCAATCTACAGTGTGTACAATGCGAGAATGAACACTGTCATTGGACACTCTCACATAATTTTTACATTCTAAGATTTTTATGTTCTTACAACATTTATGCATATGGGTCTTGTCCTCATGCAATATTTCTTGCCTGGATGATGAATGTGTCTATGTTATGTGATAGGGTATTAGTTTACCTCCATTGTATGAATTGTTGTAACCAAATAACAAACAATATTATTTATGAAAAAACAAGACCTCAAGTGTTGCACTACTTAAATAGCTGGCTTTCTGCATCACTGTAATGTCACGTAGTGCTGATGTAAATAAAAAAAAGAGACTGTTACCTTGGATTTAGCTGAATCGCTGTTGGTGGAATCTGTACAGGTGGAGAAAAGAGAGGACAGAGGAAAGTGAGAAGTCAGGAGTCTGCAGAGCTGGTTAAACAAAATGTGAACCAATAGGCAATGTGGTGCTCTTAATGTGTCTTAATGTCTTGTGAATGGAGATGAATTCAGCACTTTTGATTAAAACAATTTGGGAAAATGAAGGACTAAGTAAGCTTATATTAAATTTATGATGCCTACTGTGAGGATCCAAAGGGATTTTCCCATAACGGACAATTCATGACTATGACTCGTGCACCAATTCTTTGCTGGTAACCAGTAATGAGTTTATTAATATTACTGCAGATGCTTAAGTAGAATATTTAGAGTACTCCCAAACAATATCTCACACACAGAAATGCACACACAGTGTCAGGTGGGAATCCAGCTCCTACCGCAGAGTTTGCTCCACTGGCTCAGGTAGCAAGTGACGAAAAGTGATCCAGAAAAGAGGAAGAAAAAGACATACAGGAGAAGTCGGCAAGGGAGAGTTTAGAGTGGGAATATTAAGAGGAAAAGTAAAACTAGTTAGATAAAGTACAAATAGCCAGCTAGTGCCAAAGCTGGGGAAATAGAGAAAGTTCTACAAAGGTTCTGAATAAGAAGTGAAAATTAGAATATAGCATGCCTGATTTCCTGAAAGTGCCATTAACCTCATTGTGAAGGCAAATCCAAATACTGCAGTTGGTATTCTACAAATCAAGCTCTCTGTAAGCTCAATGAAAGGAAGCAATGAGCTGAGCAGAATAAAAGCGCATTGGATTCTGTTCAAGACTACCTTAAATTGAGCCAAGGAACTCTATAAGTAATCCTGCACTGTCATGGATCCCCAAGTGATTGCTTTTATCTGCTTAAGCATAAAGAGCCACAGTACCTGAATTGATATTGATAGAGAATAAAGTAGAATAAAGTGTGTATGTGGTGTAATGTTGGTCTCACCTGAGGCATCGCCCATCGGTGCTGTTCTGCCAATGTTGGAGAGGAGGTGATCAATATTTGGAACAGGCTGCTCATCTCGTTGGTCCTCAGGGGTCTGAGAAACAGGCAAAGATTAGTCCTAAGATTTTGCATTATAGTTTGATACTGGACACTGTGTTTAAAAACCTCTGCAACATTGCTGCACCTTAATGTTTGCATAAATAAACTGGATGGAAAATCCAGAAACTCAAAATGCCCAAATATCACAAAAGATATTTTTGCACTTGGATGAGGTAGAAAACTTGGCTTAGCAATAAAAGAAAAAAGCGAAGAACACTGAGGGGATCGTAATTTAGAAGTGATGATGTAACGGAAGCCACGTTTGACGCTGCATCCTCTTAGAACCGTTTGCCTCGGTGGCATTTGCAGGGCTTCGATGTACAACGGCGAAGTGGTACAGTGACTTAAGCCCTCATTAAATGGGCCACTGCCCACTCCGCCCAGCATATATGAACTTTTGCGGCTACAGTTGTCGGGGGGCTGTCAAAACTGCTCTACCAAAAACTAATCTAGGTTTGAATCCCTCCATTGTATATGCCTCGCGTTGTCACCTTCAGAAATTTGTGCAAATCGGCAAAGGATTAATTCACATTTTCTTTTCCTGACTTTTTTGGATTAACTTAACGTTGCTTAACGTTTATATGGAAACCCCACTGCTGCTGTGCTCAGAATGGTCCTCTATCAGTGTGGGAATTACAGGGGAGGCAGAGGGAGCTTGGCTCTCCCAAAAGAGACTTGAGTTCCCATAAAAACAATAAAATATGAAGTTGGTAAGAGTCACAGATCCTATTAGCCTAATTTATTAATATTTATTAACCATTCCATTATTTATAATGATATATTCCTATCCTTTCAAAGATTTGTCTAAAAAAAAATAATTAAATTCCCAACTCCATTAATCTCTGTTCTAGCTCTTCTCCATCAAGGCAAAAGTGTTGCTATTCCAAGTTTAATGTAAAATAATGGTGTACAAAATTTAAAGTTCTTTTTATCTGCATAAAGTCAGGGAGATAGCTTTTCTTTAACTGTACTGTAACTTTCAAACACATTGTACAACACAAAAAAAATCATTATGGATATGTGTGTTTATCCATTATAACCCCCTATTATATCATTATAACATAATACTAAACATTACAACCCTCATTATACTACAATGTAACCCTCCCACAAAAAAATGTTAGGGTTTAATACGAACACTGTCTGCCACCCAAATAATATGTAGTCATTGGGGTACTACTGTAGTCTCTTTCTTTTGATAGAGGGGTTAAAGGGTTGCCAGCAAATGTTGTGCAGCAATAAATTATATGAATAAATGAATAAATGATTTTATCTCTACAATGTGCACATATGGCAGGTGTTTCTGATATAATGGCCACTGAGAGTAGGTACAAGACATGTTCCTAATAAATTGATAATTACTGAGAATGGCTAAACTTTATAATGAATTAATTTGACAAGTCTTGACTAATCGTATTTGTTTTTCAAGGGTGCTGCTAACCGTTTACTGCTGAGCTGAGACTATGTATGGTTTCTCCAGAAATGCTTAATATGTACAGACAGCTCAGTGTAAGGTGAACCAGAGGCAATTAAGCATTCAGCTGTATCTTCTCTCAAAGAGTTTGTTTACATCAATGACAAAAAATAGAGAAAAAACACACCCAAGGCATTCACAGACAATGTATGCACAAGCTGATGTGAAGTTTGCTAATTAGGCAACATGAAATACAAAGTAATGTTCATAAGCTTGTTTCTTTCACATAATACTTTGTAAGCAATGATCTATGCATCTAAACAAATATCTTCAGCAGCAGCAGGGTGCACAGCCTGTGGATTCGTATCAGTGAGACAGTCTAAGTAGAAGAACAAACAGCCTAAGGTCACCTAAAATTCTCCCTAGTTGGATTTCGCTAAAGGCTCCCCTTGTACTGATGCAGGAGCAGTGCTGTAATATGAAAATGATCTCAGGACAGCATTAAAACACACTTTACAATTACCCCCAGCAGCTACACTGAATTTACTGTCAATATCTGGCAGGTTCGAAGATGGCTGTGAGATGTCAGATTTAGTTATTACTGGAGGAGTATAATTTGCACTGCATATAAACAGGCATAACAGCTTTAATCTGTGCTGAATCATAAGCTCTGAGCCCTGGGAGAGCAAACCGGGTGTCACTAGTGTAATGAGCATGCTGTTTTTCCAAAGGCCAAGCGCACATCTACCAGATAATCACTGTACAAATCAGACAGTACCTTCTCATCTTTATCCAGTGCATCACTGAAGAACCAGGCAAACTGCAAAGAAAAGAGAGGAGATTTGCAGCCATATTTTCACTGATGTTCAAACTAAGCAGATACATTAGTTCTGGAAAGGGGAATGAATGAAATTTCACATTTTTATAGTGCTTACATGTAGAATGAGTGTTTCCACAATCTTATAGCGGTCTGGCATGTGCGTGACCATGTCTGTCATATTGTCCTCTGAGGTTCGCACCAGTGTGGGGCCAAACACTAGAGCAAGGTTTCTGGGTTCCATCTAAGAGACAGAGAAAAGTTATTAAAGAAAGAAAACACAACTGTCCATAGTACATAATATGCTCAAATATGTTGAGATTTTGAAAATTTAATATGCTGCACTCATGCTCCATGGCCACCTTCAGCATCACTATAACATGAATTTGTGGAATAATTTATAAAAGAACCATTTATATTGCTTCACTCATTGTGTCTGGGGCATTTATCATGTTATAAACTTGGACTTGGACTGTTAACTCTGGTTCTCAAACTGGTCCTCAGAAAAAACTGCCTGAGGGGGGCTGTGTGGGAATCTCTGAGGACCGGTTTGAGAACTAACCACTGAGCTACTGAGTGTCTGTCATACTGAGTGAAGGGGGTATGGGAGGAACACCCTGCTCACCCAAAGAGAGCAAGGCCAATTATACTTCCATCATCAACGATAAGGCCATTGTCTAGACCAGGGATGTCCAGTCTCATCAGCAAAGGGTTAGTGTGGCTGCAGTTTTTCATTCCAAACAAGCACACAAGTTGTTCCACTTGTTTAATCAGCTGCTGTCAGTCTTCAAGCAACTGATCAGCTCCTGATTTCCTACTTTGTTGGAAAGAAAACCTGTGGCCACACTGGCTGTTTGTGGATAAAACTGAACACCCCAGACTTAGGAGGTTGCAAGGTTTGGTTACTATTGACCAGAATTTGCTTATGTCCATTTGACTGGATAGGGTAATACCAGGCTCCATACCTTATTCTTCTCGGAATGATCTGCCACTCTCTTAAGGTGACCAATCAGAAATTTAAGTGTGTGGTAGTAATTATCAGGTAAGTCACGGATCTAAGGAAGGGAGAAGAAGAAAGAAAACCTTTTCAAGCATGTAAAGATATTATATGTATGATATAAACTTAAGACTGACAAAGAACTTCATTTATGCATCTGAAGAATACATTTCTGAGGACAAATGATGGCAAGATCAAGGAAACGATTTTTCAAAGAAGGGATTTTTTGTTTTTCTTAAAATTAGAGAAGTAATAAAAGTTAAGCAGAAAAAAGCACCAGTGCTATTGTTAAAGAATGTTCTTAAGAAATTTCTGGGAAATCATAAAGCAGACAACTACTGTGAACGAGTAAGTGACATGTTACAGAGCTATGAGATGTAACGTCTTCAGAAAATCAACTACACTAACTTTTGAGATTAAATGTAACCATGCTTCGTATTTTACTGTACTTTTTTTTTAATTTATATTACGTGCCACAAAAATTCCTGGGTGATAGATGAAAGCCTAAATCAGATTCAGCACAAAGATTACTATTAGAATCACCTTCTTTAGTTCACTTTTGAGTTTTTTTTTTTTTACATACAATAACAACTTACACAGCACAGTGTACATTTAAATATTATAAACTGGACACCAAAAGGCAATTTTAGATGTTTTATTCAATATTTCAAGTACAATAAGTAGGTAAATAATTATTAATATATTGTAATACTCTATAATATTTTGTCAAGTTCTTTGTCTTGAGGCATTTTATTTTGGGAGACTTTTTTATTTTTTATTTTATTAAGTTCAACCTTGATGCTACACAGGTTTCTCAGTCATTTAGAATCTGTTCATCATTATCACATTTAAAATTTTTTCCAGCTCCCTAACAACTATTTGAATACAAATTAGAATTCCTTTATGCATTTATCTGTAACCTAATTGGTTTTATTTTAGCAAGCATCAATTCCAAACTGATTAACAGCAGGTATACACAAATGAACAGCACTGTTAATGATAAAAGGTCATCAACAAAATAAAACAATTTAAATAACATCCTGAAATGCCAGCTCTATCTACATACCAGTTTTCTCATGGTCTTCAGCCGATCTCCTGCATCCTCTAACCGGTTGGCGTCGATGAAATCATTGTATTTGTCTGCAAAGAGGGGGCAGCAGTGAGCAGTGACCGCAGGCACACTCCTACACACAGCGAGACGAGCTGCAGTATGATTTTAACGTGAAGGGAATTAACTCACCATCAGTGAAAAGAGGTTCTGGAAGCTTCCTGAAGAAAGACTTAAGGAGACTGCTGATTACATTCAGGTCCTGCCATCTCTGTGGAAAAATGCTGAGAGTGAGATTGACGTTCTCTTTCTCTGGCTTTACCTCTATTTCCTTCTCTCTCTCTCTCTCTCTCACCTCTTCAGCAGTGTTGATGTCCATGCCTTTGTTGAGCTGGTCCTGTAGAGTGGACACCATGGCATTGTTCCCTGGCACTCTGTAGATACCAGTGTACTCAAGACCCATTTCCTCCACCAGGCCACAGCAGATCTCCACAATCAAAGGAACAAACTACACAACACCAATAGCAGCAGAAAACCAGCATTAGGGCTGTTACCATTGATCAGGCAGAAACAAAATCGATTAAAATTCTTAGTGAATCAACAGTGATTAGTTAGCCACATATTGGCCCACATTTTTTTGTCACATATTGGCCTGATCATAAAATGAATGCATGCAAGTTTCACCATGTATCTGGATGATCAAACTCATGTCTAGTAGGAGTGTTTGTACATTTGAATGTAATAGTTCAACAACCTGAAAAAAGTGCTTGGTTTGCGGTTAAATAATCAAAACTGTGATCAATATAATCTACCAATAATAAGAATAAAAAACAGAAAATAACAATAACACCAACAATTTATGCACACAGCAATCCAGTATAAAAATGCATGTACGTATTTTACATGCACATTGCTGTAAACAAATGCTGAACTATATTACGTTCCATTAAAAGACATATTACACATTACACCCAAAAAATACACATCTAGTGCAGAAGCATCTCATACACCATAATAATGCAGTTACACAGCAAGTGCAGAAGCATCTCAAACACTGCCATAATACAGTGCTTAAATATGCTAATTTATGAAACCCATCACACTCTACATCATTCTATCATCATAAAAACTAAGACATTTTGTTTTTTTCACAATTAATTTTCTTCAGCTGTCGCAATTTTTGTATAAAGTATAAAGTCTGGTCAGTAGGGGGAGCAGTGCACTCACTGCTCGACCTCAAACTCCACCTAAGAGCCACTGGCTCACAAGCCACTGAATACTGTTGTTTTATTGGCTCCCTCACCTAACTGCATAAATTAGGGTATGCTTCATGCAAATAATATGTAAATGAGTTGCTGGTAGACCGGCACTTGATTTCACGCATTGAAGCTGATTCATCATTTGAGCTCAAATCTTTTCCAAGTCATATGAAAGTTTAATGAATCAGACACAGCGTAGTTTGTGCATCATTAAAGATGGCCAAATCTGCATTTTTTTATGCAACTAAAAAAAGTGTTCATGTTCTTATATAGTTTTTAAAATGTGCCTTAAAAGACTTCCTAGTTTATCTTTTTCCAGTAAAATATTGCAAATATTAAAGGATATGCATGGTTTGTAGTTGTTCAGTTAAAAATATTAATTCTACAACTATCCAATCCAACAGCAATACAGCATTCTGAAATATTTATAGCTTTATTTACCTGACGATGCGGTCTGCCTAAGCTCTCTGCTTTACTGAGCTACTTAATCAATAGCCCCATTCACTGTTTCATATTGACTGACCTTGTTATTGGCACCCGGCGGGCAGTCCTCCAGCCTAACTCCAAAGGCTTTAGGACCCGCTTTCTTTCCCTTCTTCATAATGTTGATGCTCCACGAAGCCTTAGGGGGACTGCTCTCCTCTGATAGAGACAGAGAAAGCGGTGGTAGAGTTCAAAAAGGGTTATTCAGCTCTATGGCAGTCACACCATAATTGCATGTGCTATCAGTAACTGGAATGTGCCCAAAGCCTGTATTCAGGAAATATCATGCAGTAGGAGTGGAGCTCTATAACCAGAGCCAGCATTTCCAAATCATTTTCACAGCAGTAGTGCTGACCCAGAATCAGTCAGTGTATTTGAAAGAAGGAAAAAAAAATGAACCGATCGTGAAACAGTACTGCTACACTTTATGAAAAGGCTTCATGAGCATATGGCCTAGATAATCTGTGCAAATGTGGAGTGCGGTTGCTCATGGTGCATCAACAGCAGGAACACGTTTAACTACCTAATTCTTTTCAATGCATTCTAAAGGCCAGGATTCTGCATGACTAACCTTTGCTGTCTGTTTTGGGGGCACGGTTTGCTCCTGAGGTGTTGTCTGTCTTTGACAGGAGAAAAGGCTGCATCATCCGGTGGACTCTAGGAGAAGTGTCTGGTTTATTACCTGTTGGGCTGTTGTGGATACAAGAGATGCACCGTGATATGACATGATATGCTATAAACACTGCAATATATCGTATCTATATCATCACAAAGAAGAACAAGTGTCTTCAAAATGGTAACTTTACAGGAAAAGGCAAAAGCTGTTCTTTAAGTTTAATATAAGTTCATGTAAAGAAGTTTTAGTCCAAGCAGTTTTGGAGCATTTCTATTAGTTCATTCATAATTAATTTTTTACACAATGAAATAGACAACTGCTGTGCTCAAATGATGTAGAAAAATACAGCAACGATATTCAAGTGTGTTGAAGAATGGAGTTATTCTCAAACATAAAGAGCTTAATCATTGCCAGAAACACAGTAAAAATGAAGAGAATTCACCTTTGTTTCCTGTAGTCATTCAGTTTTTTATTGATGAGTGCCTGCCTGGTGAAACCTAGCTCCTATAAAAAAGACAATAAACACCCCTTTCAGTAATACATAAACATAATACATAATGATATTAGGTAAAAATATTAAATATACAGGTAAAAATATTAAAATATTAAAATATAGAATAAAATTAATGATAAAATATTATAGCATTTTATAGCAGTATAGCAGAAAACACTCAAAGTCAGGTGTTATCACAAATAACATCACAGCCTGAAAGGTACTGCATTTTTGCAACAATTTTGCAAAGGAAGTAAAGCTAAAAGTAAAATTTGGTGACTTTGGTCTTTTAGGAAATCTGGCATTAACATTGTGTGCTTTGTTAACTCCTGACCCCTGTCTATTCACTGACCTCGTTGTCAGTTTTGCTGTTCTCTCGGATGACGCGGATCCAGCTCAGCATGTCGTCCCTGTCCTCTGCCTGCAGCAGGTACTCACAGAAGTCCTGAGTGGTCAGCCGCAGCGTGTGTTTCCGCTTTGTCTCGCTGTAGGCAATGTCAATCAAGCAACCGCGAATGCTGATCGGCTGCTCATCCTCAGATTGACCGCTGTGGCCATGACCGTGGCCAAACGACCCGGCGCCGTGCAGCACTGCCTCCCGCTTGTCTTTGTAGAGAAAGAGCGAATGGGTGCGCAAAACAGAGTAAACCCGTTTCCACGGCCGCATGCCACCACCAACTTTCTGCAGAAAACAGAGAGGGGCACAGAAAGCTGAGACATTTCATTTGTTATGCTGCATATGTTTCTTCTTCTTTCTCCAAGATTGTAACTGTAGCCTTTGGCTTTCTCTCTAGGGGTCCCTGACTTTCACTTCCGCCTGTCTATTTGTGACAATATCAGCAGAATTTCAGCGTAAAGTAAACCTCAAAAGGATCTTTAAAGCGGCACTATGTAATATTTGAGGACCTCTTTGGTGGAAATGTGTAATTGCACACAACATACAGACGAACAGTTTGCCATGTTGGTTATGGGTGGGACTCACAGCAGCGCTGTGCAGAGAATAACCTCACCATGATTTGTTTCCAAAGGTTAAAATGCAAAGCTGGACAAAGACCACAATATAATACTAAAAATAAAAGACTTTGTATTAGAGGAGTCCAAGACAAAACTGTGACCAGATTAACATTTTAAAACCTTCTTTTTATAAATATAAAAGGGAAAAATTAAAATCATTTGCTGTTTATATTATTTTATATTATATTGTACATGATATAAAATAATCAATAATATTACATGTAATAATACATTTTGTAAAATATAGCATGAATCAATCTATAACACAAAAGTATAATGAATTATTCTTACATTATAGGCTTAGTCCAACTTGTAACTTTTGAAAGTAAATAATGGTGAGGTTATTCACCATTCTTCTTATTCAGAATCATCACCTAAAGCCAGCCAAGTGGACATAAACCAAACAACATACATCCATTTTCTATTGATAAATGAAAACATAGTAATAATAATAACATGCTGGTCTGCCCTAAGAGGATGTTTGAATTTTGGAACTAATGAACATGAAATAATAGCCATCACCAAAACCAAGACCATCAAGTTACGGTCTCAAGAACAGTCCTGACTCAAGTACTACAAAACTACCTGTGATACTAGGCACAGAGCAGTAGACTATTAGTCGTTAAGTTAGACAAGTAGTTAAGTAGATAAGCTACAGATATGTTATACATTAAGTGTTCTGTTCTTTATCAGATCTCACCATAAAATGAAAATAACAGCAGACTGGTTGGGAAATACTACAACACTGAATTAGTGGTATATCACTGTTTTTATTCTGTGTGGAAGCCTGTCTGAGGGACCAATATTATGCTGTTCTTTACTTTGAAAGTACATATTTCACAGAAACAACAAACACATTTTAAAACTGTGAAGCCAGAAAAATGTTTTTTTAAGAAAAAGCACAGAAACTTTTCTTTAACAGTGAGGACTGAGCATGAGTCACACCTTTCCCTTCTCTGTGAGTATCTGTTTGTAGTGTAGCCAGCCCTCTTTCCTGATGTCCGTGAGAGTAATGCTTCCCAGCTCAGAGGTGGAGTGGCGTTTGGAACGAGCCTCCTCTGCTGCTCGCAGACTCTCGAGGGACTAAAAAACCACACACCAACAATTAACCACAGGATGAACTGACATTCTGGGCAAAACAGTCCAAGAAGAACTAGGAGTAGAAGAACTCACCCCATCTGTAAAAAAGCTTTTGACTCTTTTCGGTAATCTCCTGCAGAAGGAAGTGAAAATTAGAAGAACTTTCAGAAGCGGGATATAATTAGCCAGTTGCTTTTTGCATAACATTAACATTCAGTCACATTCAGTCAACTGCATCTTGCATAATTTAAAAAGATGGATATTTTTCGCATAGAAATTAACAAAATATACAGACAAGTGATGCAATATACACTGCTCAAAAGTAGTTTTGGGACACTTCTATTACCATTGTTTAAGAATTATTCTATTTGTTTATGCATTGTGGAAACTGTGCTTTAGTCCAAGTGAGCAATAGCAAGCTAGAAAACATCCACCTAACCCCCCATTTTATTCAAAACAAATGCTGGGACAGTAATTCAAATGCATACATGGTCAAACCAGAGATCTCCAATGTACCATCTGACGCACCTGACTTTACATTTCAGTAACTTTCTAAAAGACAGCGAAAGTTAGAAAACTAAGAAAACTTGAATACTGAATTGAATTAGTCTGACAACACAAATATTGGCAACTAAGTGTGTGTAAGAAAGATTACAGATACACATAAAAAGTGAAAAATGCACTAAAGAGGTGGAAAGAGAGAGAGGAAGTGCTCAAAATCTGCCATGCTCTGGCCATCCAAAAAAGCTACGCATGGCCAGAAACAAGCCTGGATGAACGTCACTTCTGTAAACTCATGCCCTCCATGAACACCTCAAGCTGACATTCAAAAGAAGGAACAACAAAATACTGATCTACATAAAGGAAAGTGGCACTAATATAATGCTTGAGTACTTTTACTTGCCTTACTTTTACTTGTTTCAGTTAGTAAACCTGGTTGTTATTGCTGGTTGTTCTAACTTTTCTGATGGATACAAATGAATAAATGATAACTTTATCTTGGGATATAATAAATAAACAAGATATAAAGTCTACTCAGTGAGTGTCTTAAGACTACTTTTGAGCACTGTGAATCTGTATTATTGATTTTCTCATATATAGGCAAAAGAACAAGCAAAGGCTCATAAGTACTGTTGAATCTAGAGACATACAGCAAATAGGAGAGCAAATACAGACAGTACTGTGGTCTCCCACACCATGTTATTAACACTCACGAGAACACACGACCCTCCTCTCTGAACGTGTTTAGACCCTCGTCACATGACTTCGAGCGCTCAGTTGTGATGGCCAGGAGGTACGACGAGCGCCGGCTGTTCTTGACATTGCCTGGTCAGAAAATGAGAGAACCAGAGAATGAGGCCTCGTGGGAGAAAATGAGCACACAAACATTGATGAGGTGAAAAAGTGAAATATATTTAGCAGATTTTTAGAGCAAAAACAAAAAAAACAAAACAAGTTAATGTATGGGATGACAGACTTTCTAGCTAAGGAAATGCATCATGTGTGGCTGGTGAACTAGAACTTACCAGTCATTAGCAATATTTGCCAGTGTTTGACTGGATGTCTGTTAAATTTGCACCCTGCGATGATGAGCAATGCGAAGTGGAGGAAACAGATGCTGGATGTTAGACAGAGAAATGGAAATGGAAATAAACAGCAGAAGGGGGACAAAGAGTACGACAGGAGATAGACGCACACACACATAAGACTGAGGATAAGAGGAGATGTATTCACTCTGAAGAGTTGTGTGACATACGGCTTCGACAAAAGGACAGGTGATATGGCTGGAACAGTGATGGAGACACAGGCACAGAAAGGGACACAGGATAAAAGCTGAAGCTGTCGATGCTAGGGAGACAGGTGAAAGACAGCGCTGGCACAGAGTATAGAAAGAATCATAGAGGCAAGACACGAGCAAGCCAGCAAGATCCTAAAGGTTAAAGTGATGGTTTGGCCAGAAATCTAATTTACACAGTTCTCCCCTCACCCCAAAAAACAGTCAATCACAATCGAAGTTTGCTTTTTTAAGGGTTAATATAGCTACAAAGTAATGAAAGCCACAGGATTAGCATCACTATAACAGAATGCTTAAATCATCAAACAACATCAAATGATCAAAGCGGAATTCCACAGATTTTTCAAATGATTAAATGGGCAAGGTGACAACAAGGTCATCTGCACTGCCTTGATGTGAAATTCTTTTCTAGAGAAACTTGCGCAGTCAGAATTTTTCACAGTGGTGGTGATAGGAACCAGATGTCGAAGGTGTTTAACGCCTCTAAAAGCTCGCCATATAGAAGCCCATTACATGAAATGGATGCCTGAAACTATGTTTCATGATAGTTTTGTGAAGGTTTTTGCCTGAAGTGTGTTATTTTAAATCAGTTCATGCCAGAGAGATACACCCAGGGTGTTGTAAGGCATAACAGTAGCCAATTTTTCAAATTCAACACTATTTTACCATTTTCAATGTTACATACAAAAACTTACAACACATACGGATTCACTCTTTGTTTTGGGAAGTAAATAAAATAGCTAGACTTTTGCTGGAGGCAATGTGACCCCTGGTTCCTTTTACCACCACTGTAAAGAAATATGAGTTTCAGTTCTTAAATTATGCTGCAATTTTGACAAATCATTGTGGAATTTCCTTTTAAGTAATCTCAAACAGACTTGTTAATGTGATTTCTGACACTATATGACATGCTGTTATCTATAAAAATGGGCAAAATATGTTGCACACCTAAAAACCTGCATTCAGTGCGAGAAACCACAAAAGCAAGTCTATCTGAGATTACTTAACAATGCAACATGGTGTAAGGCAAGTGTAGGATGACAGCCATGCAGTTTACATTGTGTTAACCTAGGCTACAAATTTCCATTGCTTGTTAGCTACATTAGCTTTATAGCTCCAGCGCAACAATAATGAAGCAAACATGTCTTGGCTGATCAGCTGTGGCTGGGGTAAGCAGAAAAATGTGCAGATTTGAGCTTTGTCATTTGAGCTTGTCACTTTATCTAGGCTAGATAGGAGACAGATAGCATCCCTCAAAAGACAGCAGATGCTGTCAGAGAGAGGTGATGGGACAGAGTCTCCTGGGATCGGATGGTTGGTGGACAGGGTTCACACTCACAGTCTGTGTGGAGGAGGTGGGTGAGGGGGGAGGTGAGGGAGGGAGATTCGGACCGGCCGGAGAGGGCAGGAGCCTGGCACAGGCCGCTGGACACCACAGAGGAGGCAGAAACGTGCTGGGCAAGCAGGTCTACACTGGGACTGGTGGGTTCATCTGTGAGGGAGGGGCGGGGTTACGGGAGCAAAGGGATTTTAGAACGACATGGGGTGAGGTAGGACCAAGAACAAGGCATTTTGTCTTCTATTGGGTTACTCCTCACAAATTAGTAGGGTTCTTCAAGGTCTTTTTTGGATAAGCTGGATTGTTCAAGACCTCAAAAGACAAAAGGCATCTACACACACATAGCTCAAGCATTCAAATGCAGTTTCTCTATAATATAGGTACTAAAGGTAATATGTGGTTTAGTAATGCCCAAATTTGCCAAACAGCTAGAATTTTTTGACAATAACTTCAGACTTTACTGAATGAGCCAAAATCACTGAGAAAAACTGAGGCAAAATTAGTTAAACTGTAGTAACCTCAGGACATCCCCTTTCTTTATCACAAATTAAGCTGTTAAAACATATATACTGAAACCTCTGCACTGCATAATCTGTTATAACTGTTATAATCTCCCACATGTCACATTCTTACATTACAGCAGGGGGCTGGACATTCTTAGGTCTTTTTTATTCTCTGGATTCTCCCTTCAATGAACACTTTGTTAAATGATGGCTGTTAGTTACTGAGGTTTAGTAAACAACAAATCTTTACAGATGGTACAGACAAGGTGTGAGTCAAACCCTTTTCCCTTTCACAAACCAAGTGCCATGTACTGGTCATAGTTACTCAAAAAGCCTATAAAATCTCCATTCAAAGTGACTTTGCTTGCGGATCCTTAGAACTACATTCTTTACAAGAGAATCTTACAGATTTCTGTAGCCTTTGATGGCACAAATGTTCTTCTCACAGGTTTTCTGCTCCTTTTAAAATGATGACTGGAACTACTATCTACACATCTTCCCTTCATCACGAACTGCTTTTTTGCTGAAATTACTCAATAAAATGAGACCATTTAACATCCTTTGTACCCTAACATCTCATAACACAGTGATAATGAATCACTTTTATTTTTATTATTTGCTGTTCATGAGAGATCACCTGCTAGGTCCCAGGGTACAAATAGCAAATATCAGAAACTGGACTAATATAGTCCCTGACAGACTATAATACCTAGCCTGAGCATAATCTTTGAAGAATCAATTAAAAACTTTCCATAAAAAATGAAAAAATATGATACCATAGTACTTTACCTATGCCCTCTTTATAGTCACTTTATAGTACCCAAGGTAAAATACCAACTTCATCAGACAAAATCAGGCCCTTTTCAGGCAAGTTAGCCTGTTATAAATTTCTATATAGAAGCAGTTTTTGATGATTCCCAGTTAGTTTGCTGGTAGTGATGGTGGAAGTAGCAACAGCATCTTTGATTTGTTCTGAAAAGATTTAACAGTTGTCATTGTTACTGAACACACAAAATTATCCATTCATCTAATATTATTATTACTTATATATTTAATTAGTATGTTCAGTACTGTGCAAAAGTCACCCTTTTTTTATTTCCAGCCAAAGCAGCCAGCAAGTTCAACTAATTTTTCAGGAGATAATGCATTTGCATGGAACAGTGCAAGACCTGGTAGACCACCAACAGTACTTTTATCTTTGAGAGAAAATCAAGCTCCACTCTTGATTCAGGTCAGAAAAAATGTTTCTGTCCATCCTTCCACTCACTTCCTGAGAAAACTAGTCAACACTATGAGTCTGAAAGGATGTGTAGCCATCAAGAAGTTGATAACGAAAAAAAGAAACAGACCAAATGGAAGAAAATTTGCAAATGAAACAAGCTGCTGGTGTTCTCAGAACAATGGACTGGTCACTCCAGAGTCCAGACATCAGCATCACAGAATGTGTTTGGGACTTCTTGGATTTCGAGAAGCAGAAAATGCAACCAACTTCTAAGACTGAACTTAGAAAAATAAATAAATGCAAAAACAAAACCACTGATATTATATTTTGCTGTTGAGGCTCCTGTGAAATGTTCTGTTAAATTAACATGTTTTCTACCTTTTTTCCCCAATGCTGAAAAATGAACATTGACCAATTTTGACTGGAAATGAAGGTTGGTCTCTGACTTTTGCCCAGTATACTATAAGTTTATGTCATTAAATGTTCCTGAAAATGTAGTTATAAAAATGACTTTTGTTTGTACCTTTCTGACTCTTGTAAAAACAGCATAGTGATCATTCAGCAATCATTAAACTTCAAAAGCAATGAATAGTCACTCGTTAGCTATGACTTGAGGGGCTCGCCCATACTGACCTATAAAGGGAATAGATGCCAAGGAGTCCTGCTCCACAGACAGGGCTTGTAGGTTTCCATTGGTTCGGTTTGTGGGGTCTGCTTGCCGCGCTGCAGGGGCTGAAGCTGCAGGAGGCTCGGCCGAGTCCACAGGCAGAGCGTAGTTGGGGTGGCGCGTTGCATGGGGTGTACGTCTGCCAGTGGGGGGCTTTTGTCTAAGGACCACCTCTTGTGTCTGAGATTGAACAGGCTCCTCTACTGCTCCTCCAACTCCTGAGCCTGGCTTTGAATCCTGCGTCTCGGTGGTGGATGACAGGGACAGAGGGGACGACTCTCTGCCTGAAGCTGCACTAGAGCTGTCCGGGGGGCTGCTTTTGGGCGTGGAAGTCCAGCTCAGGTGAGGTCCTGCGTAGGAAGAGTCTTTAAAGGAGTGGGCCTGCTGCATGAGGTGGCCCGCCTTGCGGCAAAAAGAGGGACTGTAGCTGCGGTAACCAACTGTCTGGTCATCTACAGTCTGTGCAGGCAGACGTCTGGACTGAGATTGAGAGCCAGTCTGCTGCTGGCTATGGCTGGAGCCCCGGCCTGAGGGGGGCACAGTTGCAGAAACAACAGTCCGCTGACTGCTCAAGCTGGGTCGTTCCTCAGTCTTGACTGGCTGGTTGCTCTTCTGGTGCTGGGACCAGGCTGACCTGTCATAGCGAGGTGAGACCAGAGCAGTTGCCTGATCTAGAGTATCTAGGGAGCGCCCGTAGCTTTGTTCGTACGCAGCATAAGCAGCCAGTAGGTTCTCTGAGCAGGAGCGGTTGGAGGCACCGGGTGCTCTCCACCTGCCCAGCCAGTGTGAGTCCGAGTGGTTGACCGCTCCATAGTGGAGAAGCAGCGTGTCTTGAGAGGCGCTGTGGGGCCAGCCATCACGTCCACCCGGTATCAGCCCTAGCTCAGCCAGCCTGTCCTGAGAGACGCTACGGTGTCGGGAGGACATGGGCAGCCCCGGGCGCTCTGCTGCCTGGCTGTAGTACCAGTCACACAGAGCCTGGTGGCACAGGTCACTGCGTGCTTGTGGCAGGCTGTTTTTCCGCGGGTGGGGCAGCGAGGCGGAGGCAATGGCTGCATTGTGGTTGGCAAAGTGGAAGTCCAGCGGGCTGATGGCTATGCCTGCTGAGGATGAAGAGCGAGCGCGGTGGTGGCCTAGAGCGTGCTGGGCTGGGGCATCCGGGCGGTGGCCTGCACCCCCAGTGCCATTGTCCAAGGGGCTGGTCGGGCCAGTCGGTCTACAGTTTAGGTTGTCAAGCTGGCCACTAGCAGTGGGTTTGCTGCGCGGGTAGCATATAGGAGGAGGTTCTGGAAGGTTCTTGGCCCCTCCTGTGTACGGCTCGTTCCCTTTTAGATAGGCATCCTGAGAGTACGCCTGTGAGAGAACGAGAAAATACAGACAAAATTATAAATGGTAGAGAGGTTAAAAGAGGAGGGTACAGGGGAGCAGAAAGGGCAGAGGTGAGGAAGGAAGTCAAAAGTAGCTGTATATTATTGCATATTGTAAGAGGTGAAATCTGACCTAATCAAATTTTGTAAGAGGCTATTTGGTTATACTTTATTTTAAGCTCTGCTTTTTAACAATTAATTAACTTTGAGCAAGTGATTAATAATGCCCTAGTACATAAACATATAATTTCTAAGCAAGCTTGGAAATGTGTTAGAAAAGTTATTTATCAGATGTGTTAATAAAGTCTTCTGCAAATCAATGATTAACTGAGTTAAATAATAAATAAGTTTAATTTTTCAGCCACAAGCATATTTAAAACGTCTTGTATCTATTTTAATCAAGGAAAATGAACAAGTTATTTACATTGACTAAACATGCTAACAAAAATGGTCATGTTTTCTAAAATGCAGATACTGTAATTTTACAATACAATACTTACAATACATTTTATAATAACAACGTTTTCTTAAATTACAGTAATTGCATTTTGCTATAAAGTCTGGGTGCTCATGTCCATGTTTAACAGTTCATGACTTGGAAATAATGTATGTAAGCACATAATAAATGTAAGGCAGTGGTTATTAAGAATAAATAAGCTCCACTTTAGATAAGATCTGTTGTCAGTTGTTTATGACAGGACACTCATAACATATAACATGTATAATTACACTTGCTAATGAAATGTGAGAATTTGCTTTCACATTTGGTCATTGTAAGGTCAGATAAATGTTACCTGTTTATATTCCTTGATTAAGATGTCACATTAAGACATTAGAAGTATGCTTGTAACTAAAAGATTACAATTAATTAACATTTAACTCAATGGTCCTAATAGTCAACAAACAGTGTATAGCTAATGATAAGAAGACCTTATTTACACATCTTATGAATATATTTATACCACATGTCTAAGCTTGTTTACAAATGGTGTTTTATTTATCAGGGCATTATTAATTACTTGCTAGTACTTGATAGTTCAGTCATCATTAAGAAGCAGACCTTAAAATAAATGTTGCGGGTTATTTCTGAGCACAACGGATTGCTAAGTAATAAGAGTGCACCTGGCTGAAAGCTGCCAGCATGTCTCAGATAAAAATTCAAGGATGAAAACTTTGAAATCTTTATAGCAGTGTGCTTCAAAGACATAACTTTCTGCTAATCAATAACTAGATACTGCCATGCTGAGAAGAATAACAAATGAATGTGGTGGGCTTTTGGGATAGGAAGTGGAAAGGAGGAAGAACAGCAGAAAGGTCATACTCACACTTACCAACTGGAGCACATCCTCATCTTTAGGCATGATGGACAGCTCCAGCACACTCTCACTGCACAGAGAAACAGAGACAGGAAAAAGAGACATCGTTCAGTGAATACATAGGTCTGAATAACTGAAACATGCTTTCTTAGTTTGGCTGGAGCTAACATTGCTAACAAACACTGTAAGTCAACAGTCATCCTAGTTCTCTCTGTACATCCTGAAAAACTCTCCTCAACCCACTCAAACCGCATGCAGGGGCATTAGTTATAAAATGTACTTGATGTTCATACTAAATTCATTCTTAAGAAAAGTTCTAAGCGTTCATTGGCAAATTATCCATAAAAAAATTAGTGCCTGCTTGAATATACGTACGCCACTGTGACACAGTGTAAATAAGTGCATAAAAAAAGGACTGTTTTTTAACTCTGCCCATTTTTAACTGATTTGCATTTGAACGTTTTCAGCAAGAAATGCTCAAAAAGAAAAACAGAATAGCTCAGCATGTTCTCTTCAACAAACTTGTTTATTCCTTTAAAAAGAAACAGAGCAAGGAATACAATAATGCAAGTGTACAAAAGTACAAAGGTTCTAGGAACACTCTAGGACATAGGTGCACAACTCCAGTCCTGGAGGGCCAGTGTCCAGCACAGTTTGGTGATTTACCTGCTCCAACACACCTGATTATACTTTTCAGTTAATTGCCATGCAGTCTATTTGCAGTAGCCTTGTTTGTGTGTATATTTTTTTTAAAGAAAAAAGACAACACAGTGCAAGTTTTATTTAAATTATCTGAATTTTGCATGATTTGCAACAGAAACAGCAAACGCATTATATAAGAAACACTTGTTCATGGTGAGCAGTACACAGCAGGCACAGTGGAGGGGCAACAGAGGCAATCAGCCAATCAAATACAGCTCTGTGCCATTGTCTCAGTTTAGAACATTTTCTGTAACAATTGTAAGCTTTTGATGCAGACTTGATTTTAAATATCCAATTTTTAATGATCCAACAAGAATACAGACCTATGTCACTGGAAGAAAAGTTCAGTGTACTGCATGAGAAAAGCAAAATTTAGCCCTCGATTTAGCAGTAACAAGTTAACTTTATTGTCATAGTGATCTTTTGTGAGAGAGATTTCTGGCCACTGCACACTTTCTCTCTTCAGTAGAGTCACGTGATATGAAGTATCTGATGGTAAGATGTGTTAACCATTAGTGACAGTAACATCACTTTTATGGATGTTAGATAGATTTCTAGTGGATGGGTGAAGGTAGCTGTGCCCCCTCAGTAGTTCGTTTTGCCCCCCGTCTAACTGATCCTGACTGCCAAAAGTTTGTACGTCAGGTTGGAAATGTCCATCACTCTGCACATTTTTTACATTGAAATCCAGTATTATAAATCATTACTTAAACGTGAATTTTCATGACCATTTTAGGATCAAATCTGTGCGTATGAATCTTTTATAAAGAGGCCCTTGTTGTCTAAAGTGTCTGCTTGCAGTGTTCAGCCACACAATGAAGTTTTGCTCATTTCTAGAGTTCACATCAGGTAATGCTGTTCCCCAAACCACATCGACTAGGTTACCCGACCTTAATGAAGATCTAGATCTAGTTTGAGCAAGTCAAGAGAAGTTTTGGGGATGTTGTTGGGTGACTGCTGACTTCTTGTGTTTGTTAGCAGTGTTAGCCTTGCAGTTCCAGCGCCAAACTAAAGAACAGAAATGTGAACACCGAGCAAGTCTTGTCTGATTTTGTCTGATCTGATAAGCGGAAACCTTGTGTAAATTTTTCACCAAATCTTTCCTATTAAAACACACTGAAGTGCCTGGTAAAAGGCTGTTTATTTTGGCTTTTATTTACATTTGATGGATCATATTAATGCACTGATTCATCTGAAATGTCAGAGACTAATCTGGGTGTTCACAGCCTTCAGCTCATTTGCATGTTGCAGCCTCCTGCGATAACAGTAGTGCACAGGACAAAACTGTGATAATGATAAATACATGACAATTTGTGCAGCACCATTCTCCTACCTGTTTTGGATCAGTGCTATAACCTGAGAGTACGTTTTCCCCAGAACACTCTCCCCATTCACTTTCACCAGTCGATCACCTACACAAACAAACAAAAGACATACACAGAGATATCAGTTATACTGTATATTGTTGGGATGTTGAAGATAAAGTATATCTGTTTCTTCCTACCTGTGCAAAGCCCAGCTTGGTGGGCAGGGCCTTTATCCCTCACATTCTTCACAAAAATAGTGTCCATGGGCTCAAGACGGCCCCTCTGATTCCCTGAGTTAAAGAGCATAAACACAGTCAGCACAAAGACAAATTCTCATCCACACCAAAGGTGGGCGATATGACAACAATACATCATGATACCTAAAGGCATTTTCATGACATTTATCATATATATTTTTTAAGTTTGTTGGAATGGACAAAATGCATCAGCAAAACAATAATGTTACATTTAAAAAGGCACATTACCATTTCCTGTACTGTGCAAAAATTATATTAAAATAAAAATTTAACTGAACAAAAAGTGTTTTTTTTTTTTTTTGCCTGTTTTGGCTAATCAGGCATTCGATGGCTGGCTTGAGGCACTAAGTAGAAATCTGGAACCAAATTTTGTTCTTCTAACCAGCTCACAAGATACCAATTACTTTCTGAAAACTAGAAATTCCTGCTATTTTTACAGTGTTACTATGTATTTGTATTTATTTAACATGTAACATTTGTTCTCTCACTCTCTTTCATGTGCTCTCTGCTAGAATGTAAAATGAAAAAGCTTATAGATGAAGGGTGTCAGCATGCCACTTTGGCAATATTTTGGTTTGCATCCAAACAAATTCAGAGATCCACTGTAAGTTAACACTCTTATTGTTACTAAATAATAAAAGAAGCTAGCCCAGTTGGAAATTATATTATGGTAATTATTTTACCATCAGAGAAAATGTAATCCATAGGGTAAGCCTCAGTAACGCTTACATGTGGTACTTCTTAATTGAATTTGACTCATCACGATTTTTTTTTTTTTGCAATAATTCTGCAGAAGATCATGTCTCTACACAGATGTGCTCCAGTAAAATGTTCTCTAGATCAGGGCAAAAAAGCAAAAGGTGACCTCACCTTTCCCATTGCCATTCTCCTCATCCTGGAACAAGACACAGAAAGAATGTAACAATAGTTTTAGTGTAATATGACCTGTTTACCACCAGAGGGAGCCAGCGCCCCAATCAGGACAAGACTACAAGTTTAAGTCTAGTTCATTGTAATGAATGGGTTGGTAACAGTAATACTGCAGTCTGAACACTCAACCACATCAATCTTAGCACACAAGCACACACACAAAGTGCACAGGAAAACAACCAAACCCTTCATCTTCAGAACACACACACACCCACATGAGCTGAGTGGACAGTTTGGCTGTAGCGGGCTGCGTGCAGGCTTTGGGGCTTCGCTGACACGGCTCATTCCTGACACATGTAGACAAAAGCAGAGCTTTACAGAGAGAGAGAAAGCGCCTGTCTGTCCTGACCCACTCACTGCTACCGGGGCTGGGGGGACAGGAGTGCACCGCAGGACAGAGGTGTATGGGCTGCACCTCACGGGGTGATTAGGGTTAAGGTCCCAGCGCTTCATATCTTAAAACGGCCTCTTAGCAGATTGCTCAAGCCCCCTTATGACCTGCTTACTGATCACATAAATGCTTGAAAGACTGATCCCTACAATTGCTGAGAGCAAGGTCACAGGTCAGAAGATTATCGCTACAGTGGCTGGGGGCTCTCCGAAGGAGACTCTAGCTGTGGAATAATGGTCTTGGGCTGACACTGTGCTGGGACACTGTTGGCACTAGGACATTGCTGCGTAGGCTATAAAAGTGGCCACTATAAAAGTGCTTTTTCAGTCAAATGTAGATGATGGCAGGACTCAATTTCTCTGTGTGTGTATATATATATATATATATATATATATATATATATATACACAGTCAAACGCAGGTACTGTAATAATACTTATATTCCATTCTTAACTTTTGGCAGGAAACAAAAGGGCTGAACTCCCAATAGAAAATTATCCAGCCAGATTTTGCTTCTTTGTGCTATCGGTTGCTATCAGCCAAATGAGCTCTCCCATTGGTTAGGCCACCAGCATAATTAGGAACTGACAATGGAATTCGATAGTACCATTGTATGGGACCAATGTTGTGAGGAAAAATGTCATAAGGCCTTCCAGGACTTTCAGAAGGCCTAGATATAGGCCTGTCACTCACTGTGAGTATGAGTGTTAGCCTGACCAATGCATTTCAGTCAGAAGTTAAAATTGGTAAATAGTGACAGCAGCTTTATGCCAGGGCTCTTTACTGAAAGAGTTGCTGTACAACTGCTACATACAAGGCAAAATATATGTATGTCTGTTACAAGCTTTAAATAAAACATCAAATGTTTTTTATAAGCTTCAGTCAGCGTTTCATCTAAAATGGCTAAAAAATGTTTATGTGAAACGCCGTTAGCTTAGTGCTAGTAGCTTCTAGAACTACTAGAGTGCTAGTAGAAATGACCATTATTGTAGAGGTAGTGAGTTTTGACATGTTCAGGCAGTGTTTACTGAAGGCCTAGCTTTAATAGTGATGGTGTGCCACTGATATATGCATAAGAAGATTTTATTCAAAGTAATTTTGGACCATTTCTATTGGTCCAATGATCAAGAAATGTTCATATAATTTAAAGCGCTGCAGCCGGTTTTAAGTGTTCTAAAAGAGGCACTTGTACCATGTCCTGCATGTCCTGTGTTTTGTGAAAGTGTTACACACAAATGCCTTTATTCTTTATAGACTTTGCATGGATTCACTTTACCTTCAGAGAAGTGTGGAGGGCAGACTCTGGTGGGTACACTATAAAGTGTCGCAGTGTAAAGCCAAAGCCCTGAGAATTCTTCTGCAGGACCACAGTACGGGGACCCTTCCACGCCACGCCCTCCCCAGACATCTGACGAGCATTCTCGTTGGACGACGGAACTCCATCTCTCCGCCCTTTTGCCTGAAACAGCACAACACAGAGACCATTATAAGAAACAAAGAAGAACCACTGAGCAACTTCCCCGAGATAGTATGAAGAGCTAGCTTAAGCTATACTAATCTCAGTTCCCATCTGTAAGATATCCTGTCTGATGTCTGCTGTCTGATGACTCAGTTAAGGCTGTCTCCTTCGCCTTACCCATTCACAAAACATGGTGTCTAGATTAGGTTTCGGGTTCAACAACACACTGAGCTTATTACAGTAACCTCCACCCAGTGTTGGGGCAAAGGACCAACCCCCTCCACTTTCACGCTGGAGCGAGGAATGTCTCAGGAATGTCTATTTTAAACATAGATGCTATAATCAACCACCACATGGGACTTACCAACAATGGCAGAGGGCAAAAGTAAATACAGTGGTTCCTGATGTGGAACAACAGGAGTATTAAAACACGACACACTCGCACGCACCCTCATTCACATACTGACAAAAACGTAAAATGTTTGAACAAAGGTCAGTCTTGGACTCTATGTCATGTTGGGAGCAAGGTGGAAGCACTGGAACACTAAGAGCCCATTAACTTCTAAAAAAAACTTCACTCAGAGTAAGACATGGACACATTTGACAGATGGGTCATTGATTGGGCCTATTCATAGCTTTCATAATTGGTGTACTGACTTCCAGTATTTCTATCTATGGCTCATTGTCATAGACAGTTTCTGAAGTGATAAAGAGCTGAAAACTACTCATTCTTATTAGAACAAAATCTAATCACAAGTTAATTAAACCTTTTTCCTGAAGATGCTGTATTGTACACAATGCATCAAGTTAAAAGGGAATTCAACCAATTTATCATAATTTCTGAATGATTCAACCACTGAGAAGTAAACAAATTCATTCAAAGTGGTTTGATGTTAAATATTCTGTTCTAGAGAAACCCCCAGAGTTAGAACTGTTCACAGTGGTGGAGATGGGAACAAGATGTCTGAAGAGTTTCACACTTCTAAAAGCTACCTCACAGAAAGCTATTACATAAAATGGTTATGAATATGCTGCCTGATGCCTGAGACACTGTTTTATGATAGTTTTGAAACCAGTTTTTGGTTTTAAACACATTTTTTAAAATCTAGTCATGGCAGAGAGGCACCTGCATTGTGAGGTAAAAGTACCCAAAGAATATATTATTTTTGTGATTTACCACTTCCAACATCTAAAAACTCAAAAGACATGTAGGTGCACTGGTGATTTTGGCTATACTTGTGATGCAGACATCACAACTCCTGATTCCTATCACCACCACTATAAAGAGATCAATCTGTGTTTTTCTTTCAAACAAAGCATTTGTCAGAGCACTCTGAATGACTTTGCTTACATCTCAATGTCTGAATTATGTAGACATTTTGAAACATCTGAGGTTCCACTCATCTGGTTGAAGCTAAATGCATCATATTTCCAGCTCCATAATGAGCTTTTTTAGGATTTTGATGGTTTCCACAAAAATTACTCAGTGTAAGTAGTATGCATTGGCTGATCTCTTGGCTGGTAGTGGCTGGTGTTTCTCCTGAAGCTCACTCACTCTCGTCTGTCTCCAACACCCACCCTCTTCCTGTTCCCCTGGGTTCCTCCCCATCAGCTCACCCCAGCATTCCAACACCTCGCACCCTGCGCTGTGCAGCGCCGCCGGAAAACAACAACAGGAAGTGGAAACATTGAAGCAGGAAGTGCAGTACCTCCCTTAGCCAGCCATTAAGGGAATCCTCTCTTCTCTAAAAATACTCCAAAACTAATATGAGAAGGCTCGGTGCTTTCTACTACACGGCCAGTGAGTCTTACAAAAACACTTCCCAGAAGTTTGGTCTCACCGTTTCCTTAAACCCTTCTGTGCTTATTCTGTCTCCAGGCCTTCTTCCTGCTCTAGTTTCTCTGAAGTGTGTCAAAGCTCCTCTGTCCATCTGTGCCCTCATCAACCCCTCCCACCTCAAACATATGGGACCAAATGGACTTAGGACACCAGTCCAAAGGAGCAAGAGCTGTGAATATTTCATTAAAAATGCACCAAAAGAACTGCTTGGAATATAATCGGTAATTACTGTACAGTAAGCTTGGACAATACTGTATATATAGAGAAACAACTGTTTGTAGAAATATCGCAATAAACCATGTTATCATGACCATTTAGTGCGGTTCTTTCTAATTACGCAATAATACTTGAGAGAGTGAAACTGAAATACTGCCAAACTGGCATACTGACACCTTTTTTTCTGGGCATGCTCTTGTATTTTACTCTCTACTGGAGAGTAGATCTCATGTACCAGAGTTGCACAGTTTCCTTTCCATGTTCCCCAGCAGTGTTTCCCACAGATCTGAAACAAATCATCATGGGGGATTGGAGAGGTTATTTGAATTGATGGATATCCAAACCCAGTATCTGTTTACTTAATCAGGTAGTCAGGTACAAGGCATTGAATAAACAATTGGATAACATGAGAAATCCCATAGAGGTGCTAGCGGAACTTAGTGTTTGTACATAAGAAAGCTTTTTTTAGGGTGAATATATAGGTTGTGGACCTAGCACAAGGAAAAAGAGTGATGTTTTGCATCAGTGACACTGTGTGTTTATAAGAATTTATAAGAATATGAAACATTTTTTTCTTATTGAAATTGGCCAGCATTCTTCATTAAACTTAAAATTTATGTTATAATCTTCCTAAATGTCAATCAAGGTTTGTAGCTAGTGTGTAGTTAATTAGTTGGTGATGTTCTGTTTGTATAGCCTGTAATTACACACAATCTTTTCTATTGTAAACACTTTGAACAAGAATAGATTAGAACAGATGTACAAAAGCAACTAAAAAAAAACAAAATGAATGAAACAAAATCGCGACACATGAAAGAGAAGGAAAGAACAATAATTTGAGTAATATCGGCACTCAATTATCATGATATTCAATAATATCAATTATTGGCCCAGGGCTAACGTACAGTGAAGTTAAGCATATTTTTACTTTTTTTTCGTATAAAGTTACCAGTTCAGACCTACAAGGTTTGACAACAACAGTAGAAATATGAAATATAGAAAAGAATAAAAGGTTATTATTAAAGAAGATTGAAAGGATATGAGAGTAGAGAGTAGGAATGTGTGCAATGCCCATGCACTCGGGGGCATGTTCAGACACCCGATGCGGGGACAATGGATGACACAGAGGCAGAGGAATGAGGAGGAAGAGAGAGAAACACTGGTAGGCAAGAAAAGAGAGAGATGATGGGGGGAAAAGCAGAGAGTGATGTAAGCGCTGTGTTCTTCTCTGGATTCCAGGGCTAGGCATGTCACACTTGAGTGAGGGTAAACGAACACGCATGAGTGTAAGATTCCAGGTCACAAGAACACTTACACACAAACTCAGGGATCAGATCTCACACACGCACACACACACACACACACACACACACACACACACACCACTACATAGTGCAGGCAAAAGTATAGTCATTTAAAATGTCCGAAATGCCCTGAAGAAATAGCTTTTCAGTCCAGTTCAGGGCACAGCTGGACTTCTTCCACAAAATATCTTTATGTACTAGGGATGCAACATGGATTAACCTAGTCTAAGACTAAACTGTGATGCCAGCATAGTTCTTGTTTAATTAGAATAAGTGCAATTCAGTATAGAAACGTTGAATAAAAATCATGTACCGTAAATAATATTTTTGTCATATCACTAATCACAACATGTAGCAACATAATCACAACATAATCTCAATAAGAAATTCTGTATAATGCAGCCCTACAACATACTTCAATTTCTTAGGGTTAGGGTTACAACATTATATTATAATATTATATTAATTTCTTTAATGTTTTTTCCCCCTAATTTTTACTTGGTATGTCTACAGCTCTGACCTATCTGACTTATTTTTCCTCAGGAGAAGCAATGAGATGCTGATGGACTACCATTGGATGGGAGGATGTTCTAGAGCACTGTCCGTGACTCACGCTTTCTCACACATACGCAACAAGCACACAAATATATAGTGCAGGCACGGGAACCGCTCTGATTTTCTTCCCCTCCACTAGTCATCAGCGCCCCTCCAAGCACTCCTTACGTAAGGCAGTGGAGGTGTAGACACAACCCCAACAGAGCAAAACACCAGGACAAACCAGCATGCACCCCAAGGCTAAACAACACCCAGACAGCCCAGAAAGACCCAACCTTAAAATATCAGCATAAACTTCCATTAAGAGAAACAGAAAACAGCACTGCCATTAATGAATCAAGCACTCATTTAGTACTGCTCGGATGAAATGGACTTGACCCTAAATAGAGATGGGACTGATGGAACACATCTAAAAAACAGGTCACTATTAAGGCTGGACAATACTGGAAAAATAAAATATTTTCAGGGTACATGATACATATCACAATATTATATCTGAGGATTGGGAACGAATGCACCAAAACAGCAGAATCACGTTTAAAATACTCTAAGAAAAACTATCAGTATATTGTTTTACTTGTTTTTCATTAACAAATTAAGAAAATATGATGATGTCACAATCAACAGCTACTTGTTTATGTGTAGTTTATCCAGTTACTATACACGTGTTGTTTTTGTTGTTTACAGACTGTCTATAATTGGTATAAATCTAGAAGTACCTATAATAGGAAACCTATACTATACACAGAAAAGCACTTTGATGTAATTGATCACAATCATCATATTGTCCACCCCTAGTAATTATGATCTATGGCAGTTTTGAAAAAAATTGCAGCTTAAAGGCTGACACTTTTAAAACAAAAAGAGAGAAATTACAAATGTTTTAAAAAGGAAAATACACCATCTGAGTTACATCATTTGAATGGAAAGTAATTCAAAAACAGTTGATGTCAATGTATATTTAACATTGATTATTTTTCATTATCAGCAGTAGAATTCATTTTAAAAGTAACCCAACTGTGACCCTAAAGGACACTGACGCTTCAACTAACAGGAAGGCAGGGATCATCAGACTAGAACAGATT